CCCCGCAGCCGCCCCTCGCCGCCCTCCCCGCTGACGGAGGGGCCGCGGACGGGTGTTGCCGCTCACCTTTCTCTGTGCCAGGGTGGGCTGCGGTAGAGCCGGGCGGCCCCTCTCGGTGCCTCGTCCGCGGGACACGCCTGGCTTTCCAGTCACGGGCTGCCGGTGACCTCCCGCTCTTCCCCGTGCCTCAGGCAGTAGCTGCGGTGGAGTGGCTTCGCGTGAGTGGAGCGCGCAAAACGGCTTGGCCAAGGTCGTCATAATCATGGTTCATTTCAGTAAGTTTCGGCCTCTAGCTCTCGTCAGAATGTTGCTTTAAATAGGTGTTGCTTAAAAATAACGGGTTTCCTTTCCTGCGTTTGTTCTGTTATCGGGATCCACGGCAACCTCTCCTTCCCCGTGTTAAAAGAGGGATTGTTCGTTAAGTCATATATTCTTATAGAACTCCTGTGTGTCCGCCGCAATCCTTCATAAAGATGATCTGAATAACGGTAACAAACCTCACAGTACTCTTCTAGGCAGCTGTAGTGCTAAACTACCGTGGTTTAGATCAAACTATTAAAAAGAGCGTTTAATGTTGTTATAAGAAGCAAACTGATTTTAATGTTTTAACGCTAAATTGCTTTAAGCAGATCAAAATATGCTTCACTGTCCAATGTACGAATAGTCCTGGGTCATTCCAAATTGCACGTGCATGAGATCTTCTATTTGAAAACGTAAGGCTCATGTAAAGAGCGGCAGGTTAGAAATGACTGTCTAACGTATTTGCGAGCTTCAATCCAGAGCAGAAGCACTATGCAGAATTGCAAGCAGTTAAAATTACTAGTAATTCTTAGCTGCAGTATTGTCAGCTGAACCCTTTAACAGCATATATGTAAACAGCCATCTGAGAATACTTCTGCCAGTGTGCTGAATCGTTGTTATTTTTCTAAGATAACTGATAAATACATTGTTAAAAAATAAAAAAGAATATTCCTACAAACTTTCCATGTTGAATAATGCTTATTTTTTTTCTTGCATGTGTATCTGATAAAAGCCACTTTAATAACAGATAATTCGCCTCAGTGCTGTATCAGGAAATGGACTGGGACCAGTTTGACTTGAACCCTAAAGTAATTGCTGCCCTTAAGAAAGGTAATTTAATTTGCCAGTGTTTCCCTAATAGGTCTGTCACCATAGTGTCTTCCTTTACATAAATGTGTGTTTGTGGGTGTAAGCATATAGATGTACAGTAACATTTTAGAACAGTAATTAAGTATTTCATAAGCAAGTTTTTTGAGTAATCAGAAGTAGTGGCTTTTCCCCATGCTTCAATAATAATTTTCCAAACAATTGTATAGCATGTGTCGATATATTGAAAGTGAATGTTGACTGCCTAGCTTGCAGGAATGCAGTGTAGATAAACTTCAAGTAAATGATTAGTAGGAAGTGGGAAAACTTTTTCTTTTGTGCATAAGACCGTAATCCAGCCACAAGTATTTATAAAAATTCTTCTAATTTCAGCTGACATAAAATCAATAAAAGAGATTTTAAATCTTTCTGGAGCAGACTTGCAAAGATTGATGAAACTATCCAGTGCAGATATACAGTGCTTACTGAAAACAGTCTCTCACATGCTGAGGAGAAATAGTATGCTTACAGGTAATATAGTCAATATAAAAAAAGTGTTCTACTTAAATCTTATAATACCATCACCGGGATAAAATAAAGTTTCGGCTCCTCATTGACACAGTAATGTGATTCTGAAAATGAAAAGGCAAGTGTTTTTGTTATGCTGTAGTGAGTTATTTAACTTTCCTAAGGACAACTCCTCTGAGACCTTGAAGGTAGATGGAAGTGGATGGGTGTCATTCTTCAGGATCAAGCCTGCCTGAAACAGGACAAAATGATTCTCCAGTCTGGAAAACTTGATTAGACCAAAAAAAGATTCCCTCTCCCTTTTGGACTAAGACTAGTTGAAAAATTTATATGATATATTATAAACTATATGAACTGATTTGGTATGAACACCTCATCCCAAACCAAGCAGAATGTAATAGCTCCTCCTGTACAAACGCTTCATGGCAGCTCTGTACTTAGAAGTTATTTTCTTGCGATTTACATATATCTTCAGGCCTTGGCCTGATGCCTGGTACGCTGCTTCATAATCTGCTATAGCTTTCCATTTTCAGAATTGCTGTGTCTGAACCTTGCTGGCAGTATTTGCCCAGTGTAGCTTTCCACAGAGACTCCTTAGAGGCAGAGAAAGGAAAAAAAGTTTGAGAAGAGGAAAGGGCTCAGTGTAAACTATCAATTTTTGAACAGGCATTCAGTTAGTAGGCCCTGTGGGGAAAGGGAGGTGGGGAAGACCAGGCTGAATTTGAAAAAATTCCCATCAATAAAGAAAGCATCCCTTGTAGATACAAAGCTGGTATACAGCCTCTATTTTGTATCATTGTGTGTTAGAAAGATACTAAATGAAACTCCTTTTTTTTTTTTTCTTTTTTACTTATTAAAAAAAATCCAAAACTCTGCAGCACTTCAGCTCTGCCAAGATAAAGATCATCTCACCTCCCAACACCAGAAGCTAAGCCTAGGATGTTCAGTACTAGATACCTTGTTAAAAGGTGGCATTCCTTTAGTGGGAATCACAGAACTTGCCGGGGAAAGTTCTGCTGGGAAGACTCAGATTAGTTTACAACTATGCCTTTGTGTGCAGTATCCTTACAAATATGGTGGATTAGAATCTGGTAAGTACTGAAATGTAAATATTGATTAATTTGCCATTTGGAGGAATATACTGTCTTTAAGAACTTCACCAGTGCATTGAAGTAGATGCACATGTTTAGTGCATGTCTTGCCCTTCTGCGATAGCATAAGTAGTAAGCTAGTTAGTTAGCGATGCATCTTTATAGAGAGAAAAGCATGCTGTGCATATGCCCTGCATCACAACATAATTTAATACAAAATTACTCTTGGCTGTTGTTTACCTGCCTGCTGCTGTGGATTAAACTAGACACATGCAAACAATATATGAAAAGCAGTGCTGTCATAAGTACTTACTGACTCCTCAGGTAACAACCACAGCAAAACAGCTTGTCAGATAATTTTGCACAAAGATCTTGGGTATATATTCCCTAGTTGGGGCTTTCAAATTTCAAAGAATATTTAGTTTGATAACAATAATTAAAGTGATTTACAGAGTAAAATTGATGGAAATCTAATTGAAGAAAGCTGACATTGTTTTGTACCTGCGATTTTCCTGGTTTTGCCAAAGTAAGTAGGTTTATTCTTTGATTAGAGTATGGTTTTTTTAACCATCTATCACATTAATCTAACTCATCTTTTTTTTTTTTATTTTTTTTTATTAAGTATCATATGCTGTCTTAGAAAGGGAGGAAACTTGTGTCACTTCTGAGAATTCAGTGTCCTGGTAGTCTGCCTTAGGTGTGTTTTGGCTGTGATCTTGCTCTTCTTTCCATGCAGCGCTGGGTTTAATTTGGCAGCCCAGCGGTTTGTTGTGGGGAAACTTAATTATTTCTTGTACTGTATCCACCCATGTGGAAAAATCATGGAAAGTCCAGATGAAGATCTTGCTTAAAGGGCAGTAATTAGCCTGTGGCTTACATTGCTTTAAGTTACATCATTAATCACAGCAGAAACCAGGACACTAATATATTTTTCTTTTATTCCTTCATGTGTTGTTGCTAACTGCTGCAAATAGTTTGAATGCGAATACATTTTTATTCATGCCCCAGCATTTCTCCCTATTTATGTTGAAAGAAAGGAACAAACCAGAACGGAGTACAGGAGAAGGTGCCCAACATCCTAATGGCACGCTTGTCTCTTGCACCAGACTACAGGCTTCCTTGTAGGGCTACAAAATGGCAAGTCTTTTCATTATTTGTGTTTGAAGATGGTTCTTGTTTCTTATGCACTTAGCACTCGGTGCCATTATGATTGCTTTGTCATGTCTGTGTTCCCCATCTACCCACTCCTAAGCATTTCACAGAAGATGGGATAGAATGGCCATCATATCAATGCTCCTGTGGGAGAACCGGAGCGTTTTGGAAAGGCTGAGAGGAGAGAGTGTTTGAGGATCTTAAAGGTGTAGAAGGTAGAAATATCCTGCTGCAGGAGTTGGAGAGCTAAGGGTTTGGTGGAATCCTAATTCTTGCAGTTTTTAACTCTCAGTGTGGTTATCTTGCCATATGTTAGACTGCATACAGTCATAGCAGCAGATATTGTTTGCATAGCACTCAGAAAATGAAACTTGATTTCTCTGCAGTCTATAAATAAGGGTTCTGTTGAGTCTCTTATGAGAAATACAGGAATTAAAAGTTATGTTAAGTATGAGGAGTTTTATTCTTTAGGAAACTTGAGAATGACAATGCTTAGTAACTATCACAGAAGTCTAGCACCACCAATAGAAGATTAATCTCAGTGCTAAAACTTTGCTAATGATTTAAAATTATGGTGGGTTGTTTTTTGTTTGGTTGGGGTTTTTTTAGTGCTAGAAACTTCCCTTCTCTTAGGTGGTGATGTTGAAATACATTTCTTTAGACAGTATAGATTTATTGTGTATTTACTTCATTTGACTTAGTGCTAATCTTGTTTATGAGTCTCAGTGCTAGGAGGTTGGCAGCAAACAAAGAAAATAGGACATCCTTTGCCTCCAGGTTATCTTTCTGCCATTCTAAGAATGTCAGTTATGGTCAATCTCATGTTGGCTGAATTTATTTTATATGTCCATATTCATAAGTAATAAATGAATATAATGTGACAAATTTATATCCATATTAGAATCCTGAACTAGAAAAAAATGTTTGCTGCTGATTCTTGGTAACAAGCTGGTTTGGTGCATGACATTATGTTCATAGGACTCAAAATTTGTCCTTTTTTAGTGTTTTTTATTTTTGCTTGTTTGGTTTTGGGATGTTTTTTGGTCGACAACCAGCATAGCACTTTTATCAGCCTAAATAATGGTAAAGCACTGGGATTTGATGAAATAGCTGATTTCTGTTTGGTTTTTGTGGACCTGTGGTGAAAGATGCTTATATGATCACTGGGAATGACTGCTTCTTAAAAGCATGTCTCAGCTTCTTTCTCAAAAGTGGTAACTACCCTGACTCTTGACTTGTTCTCAGCGTTGACAGGTTCCTAATAAACTGTAGATAGCACAATGCCATAGGCTTTTCTGTTTGTGTTGTACTGGTCTCCCCTTTTTGTTTAGGTTATGATAATTCACTTATCTTTAAATATATGTGAATATTGAGTGCTTTTGCCTCATAATTAGGCATCTAACAACATCGGTCTTTAATATTGAGTTTAGTTATTTGTCAATCTCTTCTAGCCCTTGTAACTTTGTTGTAAAGCATCTCCTGTATTTTTAATGCACGGGTGTGTATTCTCCTTAAACAAATGTTGCATTGTAGTTCAAACTGAAGACCACAAACAGAAGTTGAAGAGGGTTGATGAAGGTCCAGTAGGAAAGAGTGCTATTGTCATTGTACTGTGAAACTCAAATTTTAAGCCAAGGCAAAGCTCATCTGATGTATTTTATGTGGCTTAACTCCCTTAAAGTTCAAGATGAAAATTACATAATTGTTTTGTGAAATGAGCAGCACTTAAAGAAAGGAAAGTTGTCCCACTGTGTATTTTGGAGAAATCACAAATGGACCAATTATGTACTCGGAGTACAATATCTGCTGTAGTATATTTAACAGGTGTCCAAGAAACATTACAGCAGAGTAGAAGATTGGCAGGTGACTGAATGCTGGTATTTACAAAACTAAACTGAGGCAGGAGGTAGTCTATGAAGTAGAACTGTTCTTAAGAAGGAATTAATCTTCTTGATTTTTTTTTATACAAGTGTTTCACTAAAAAAAATTAACCAGAATAAATCTGTTCACTTGAACTTTAAAATTGCTGTCATGATTTTACGAAGAGAATGGTATGTATCTATTGATCAGGAATTTTAAATCTAGGTTGCTGGACCAGTGGAGCAGAGAGGACCAGATTTTTGCTTCTCCAGCTGTTCTTTTTTGCCTACATATATTACAACTGTAGGATTACCTTGTTTGCCTCGATTTACTTGTTCATCAGGTATAAATGTGAAACTGGGCCACAGTTGCATGTATGTTTGTAATACAGTAAGATTGCTTGATCATTTTATACTCTTCTGCTTTTGCCTTGTGTTTGTTTCTATCACTGTTCTTAGGAGAATTTTATGTTTCTTTTTCTCCAGATAAGTTAATTTTGGAAAAAATATATTTTTTTCAGCAACTTTCTCAGGTTTTCTGTTTTGAAATGTCTTGAATGTTGCAATAACTCTGGAACGAAGTACAGTTATTTAATCAATGGAGCACCGACCTATCTAGAAATGCAAATCTACATTTGAAAAACCAGCAAGTCTCAAGTAACGGACATTCCATCCTTTTTAAGTAAACCAAGGAGAGAACAGGAGACATACTGTTTAAGGCAGGTCTGATTTTTAGAATGCAGATGATTTCTGTGTGAGCCAGTATTCATGGCAAAGAAATCCCTTTCTTTCACAATTAGGCAATGTTATGCAAAAGGCAGTCGGCTGTGAATAAGAATGGTAGTTGAGAAGTCCAGACCACTTTACTTTAGGAACTGTAAGTTACTATGCTAACACAATTTAGCATAGCATTTGTAAGTATGAAATTCAGAAAGTACATGTGCTTAAGGAAGCTACATATCATGGTGGGGTTTCTTTATTTCTTTGTTCACTTGGTTTTGAATTTGCACCATGATGATTTTCATTTCAGTTTTGTGGTGTAAGTATTGCAAGACATAATAGGCTTATCAAGTGAGTATCGGTGCTAGATATACATAATGTCAAATTTGTGATTAGAAATTTTTCTTGACTTACCGGCTTTTTAGAAATTGTGAAACTGAAAATCTGATTAGGAATGCATGAACTGCCCTTAATAAAGATACTCACCTGCCTATTTGATACTCAGCTGTCACTGTCAAGTTGGAGAGTGATATGAAAATTAGTTCAGTTAGGAGAAATTAACCTAGGGAAATAGTCAAGAAAGTTAAGGTTCACCTAATTAACTGTTTAATAATTGGCTATTTAAAAAGCCTTAAGCAGTTAAGTGATATAATTAATAATCTACTGTGTTTTCCTCGCCTGAGCTTCATACAAGTTCAGATAGTATTCAACAAACTGCTGATGTCACTATAAACTTAATGGATTTAAGTAACTGTGGACTTACTTTCTCTTTTTATTTTCCTCCTTTGCTGATGGAAACTTGTATATGTGCTCATTTGTGTCTACAGGTATTGCAAATTACTTCAGTTGTAATTACCGAAGACAGCATTTACACCCACAGTTTAAAATTCTGAATTCCATCCACTCTAATGCTAGGAAAAAAGTGGGAAAAGTACAGAAAATATTCATGGTTCAACTTCTTAGTTTTTTATATGTTGTAGTTTAGGAATCGTGATCAGATCATGACTGCTCTGATCACTAATGCTTTATTGTAGTCCTTATTCGCTGTCAAATGTTGTAAACTGCTAACAAGCCTCCGTTCCTTCTGACATAAGTATGTAAGTAATGAAATTGGGGAATTAAGAAGAGAGACTTGAATATTCTAGTGATAAATGCTATTGCTGCCAGGGCCAAAGAAAGTAAAAAGGAGCCAAATTATTATTTGAACCTGTTATTAGGTAGAATGGAAATAGAAATTGTGGAAACATTTCAGTACATCCTATAGAAGGTGTGGATGATGATGAAGTATTTTTCCATGTGTTAATAATTGAGGAAGGTCTTTAATTCTCACTTGTCAAAGACAATTTTTTTAATTAGTGGGCATGGGTAATTTTTTTTGCTTTATCTGATAGCTTTCTGAGTATTTAAAAATAAGACTGTATTGGAAAAATAATTTTTTTTTAAATGTTTCACATATGAAGTAGGGTGATTTACATAAGAATTTACAGTGGAGTTGGGGAGAGTTAAGCTGAAGATGCAAGTTTAGTCCTAAAGAAAATTAGGCTTAGGCTCATCTTTGTCTTATATAGAAGATTCTCAGAATTCAATACCTTGTGTTATACAGGTGTCCATCAGCAAAATATTTTTCTTGATAAAGTAACCATCAATTTTTACTTCATCCAGTCCTGAGATGTTTCAGTTTCTGCTATTGGATATAGTTTCATATTTTTTTCAGTGGAATATATAGAGGATTTGGAAGTTGTATCTGGAAATGGGACTTTCTCCTCCCTGGAGAGCTAGTGTAGGGATGGACCATTGGATGTCTCGTATTGCCAAGTACATCAGCTGCCAAGCTGTGTTAGCAGCTTCAACCACTTTAGTGAGTGGACTTAATCCTTAGCTGTAACCCTGTAAGTATTAGCTGATAATTCTGGCTAGTTCTGCAATAACAGTAAAAATTTTTTATAAAGAAAATATTGTATGTATTTCTGTTTTCTTTCCCCAACATCTTTGATGTGTATGGTTAATTTTCTCTACAGTAATGCACACTTATTAACCAGAAACCACAGTAAAAATATATAGACAGCAATCACAGTAATGTGATTGAAGTATAATGCTTTTTATCTAATCTACCATTTTCAGGAAGAGTTAATTGGACTGAGATTGGATGAGTGATCCTCTTTACACTGGTTTACTTGTGGCAATAAGTACCCCTCCATATGTAAACTTAAAACCAAGAAACTTGAAAACAGTGAGTGAAATTAATCAAAATACTAGTTGTACTGGTTTTGGCTGGGATAGTTAATTTTCTTCATAGTATAGTGCTGTGTTTTGGATTTCTGACAAAACCAGGCAAACTGTGCAGTGTTGCTCTATTTATGATACTCGTAATCACCCAAGTTAGGTAGTCAGGTGTTCCGCAGCTGTGCAAAATGAGTGTCACCTAGTGGAGAGTACAAAAATCAATTGCGTCAGCAGGCACCAAAAGCAGGACCTGGCAACTACAGGAAAGTCATAGGAGTGGTTTTTTTGTTATTCATCACTGATTCAATATGGGTGCAGAAAAAAAAGTAACATGAATTTCCAAGTACATATGTCTAGCTTTTGAGTGCAGAATGTATTGCTTTATTTTTGTGCTGTTAAGACAACTGCATATGTAAAAGCCCTGCTGTAATAATAGAGGTGGTTTACTTGACTGTAGGAGCTGTGTACATTTGTACAGAAGATGTATTCCCAAGTAAACGTTTGCAACAACTCATAGATCAACAACATAAGCTGCGTGTGGATGTTCCAGCTGAAATCATACAGAAGATCAAATTTGGAAACAGTATTTTTGTTGAGCATGCAGCAGACCTAGTAAGTAGTAGCACAAATTAAGAATGCATAATTATTACACTATAATCCAGTAACCATAGGGGTTTTTTTGATACAGGAGACCTTTCAGAAGGCTAAAAGTGAACTAGGATCTGTAATGAATACTTCTTAATCTCTGCAATTTGCTGTTAGAGAACTGTCTATTACAGTGTTTTATTATGAAAGATATTAAAAAATAACTATTAATATTTTTTAGAATGAGTCATGTCATGGATTTTTGTAAGTTGTTATGTTTATTAAAATGTAGTAGACTTACTGATACTAGTTTTACTGCAGCTCCTAGGGAGATCAATTGAGTTGGGAGACAGGATATAAATATATATGCAAAAGGTCATGTGTATCCTGACTAACTTGCAATATAACACCAGAGCTGTTAAACCGCAAATTAAGCAGGTGGGAGGAAAAGATATTAAAAATGGTGCCTGGAATAGGTAATGACACAGAATAACCACAGCAGTGCAGCTGTCTTGCCCCTCTGCCTGTAAGATGTCATATTAGAATTGGAGGGGAGAAGACACAAACTTCAGTGCTGTATTCTTGCCTTGTGAACCCACATTTTTGTGCTTTTTCTTAAGTAGCCATGAATATGCTCTTTATCAATAGAATGTCAGAAGTTCTGTTTTCTCTAAGACTCAAAAGTAGCACTTGTTAAATCATTCTAATTGATGGGGTTTTTTAATTGTAGTTTGCAAGTGTAAGAAGATCTTGTACATTAGTATGCTTGCTTCTTATTCGCTGTGTGGTCCAGGCAGCAGCTAAGCTACCTTTTCTGTGTCCCTTTCATTGGAAATATTAATTAAAGTTCTAATTGTAGTTTCTGGAAGCTGCAGAGTATGTTACTGTAAAAAGGAAAGAATCACCTTATAGTAGTAGTATATACATCTCTCTAAAATACCCTTAAAAGTAAAACACTACACTCACTGGTAAGTCCAGCAACCATACAATAGATTATTACAATTCATGTATTGCTATGTATAGATTCAGTTTGTGTCTTTCCATGTATGTAGAATGCATTGCTATATAGAGATAGGCAGATTATAGCAATTGAAGTAGAAACCCAAATCACAATAACGTTCTGTATTTTCTTGCACAAAAAAATTTTTTTGACTTGCTTCATTCTGAAGAATCCAGTTGTTTGTGTATTCAGTTGAAAAGAATGAGTCTTGTATGAACAGAAGGACCACATAAAAACACTGAAGTGTTTGAAGTGCAACATAGGTTCCTGTAGATATACCACTAAGTGAAACAAAACAAAACAAAATTTTCCAGAATGGAAAGCAGTCATCTATACCTCAGAGTAATTTCTTCCAGCGAGGTTAAAAAAAAAAAAAAAGCCTTTGATAGTATAATATTATTTTGTAAAAAGCAGCTCATTTAGTAGAATAGATCTTTAGATCTTACTGTAATTCAGACTTGAGAATTACAATTTAGTTTTAAAAGTTGTGGAATGCTGGAGGATATTATATGCAATTTCGGATGCATGTCAGCTCTTAGATGTGAACCTCTATTTAGATGTAAAGAGTGGCACCAATCAGAAGAACTGTGCCTCACATTATTGCTTTTTTTTTGCCAACATTGAAATTTCTGATGGCCAGAAGTTGAGATTATCACTATGAGCTGCTTTTCCTTTCTACTCAGCTGCTGTAGACCACACTCTTAAAGACAAGATACTGGGCTACAAGGACCTTTCATCTGACTAATATAATTATTCTTATGTGATAGAAGTTGCACCTACAAAATACTTGTTAAACTTCTTGCAACTGAAATGTTTGGTGACTTCAAAATATTCAATTAGTAAAACTTAATAGGGAGGATATAAGTTGCAGCTACTCATATTTATAAGACTCTTGATCAATATGGATTTGATGTAGCAACTATGTATTTTACAGTTAATATGTCGTTATTGGAACAGCAGCGTAGTCTCTAACGTCTGTTTTGAATATTTAATGCTAGTCTTGTGTCCTCAGTGTTTCTGTGAGAACCACTCCTGCAAAATAGGAATGGTTTAGGATTGTAGTATTGCATTCTTGAGATTTTGAAATGTCAGTAAATGATTGGTTTACGTCGGAGCTGCAGATAACTGTACATTGCAGTTTGGTCTCTTTATTTTTTTCTTAAGGTAAAACCAGAAAACATTTGCGAAAAATGGTTACTAGTGAGACTTAAAGATCCACAAACTCACTGTATGATTAGAAACTCCATCCACTCATATTTCAGTGATGATGTCTGTAGTTACTATCTTGATTTTACAAATCTGGTTATTTGAGCTGTTTTAATAGTGACTGTATTTTGTGGTAGGATACCTTTCACAACTGCATTACTAAAAGGATTTCCCTACTGCTCACAAGAGGCATGGTGCGGTTGGTGGTCATAGACTCTATTGCCGCTTTGTTCCGATGTGAATTTGGAGTTTCAGATTCTGTTATGAAGGCTCGGTATTTGCAGACATTTGGAGCACAGCTTCACAGTTTAAGCACTAGATTCAGGACTCCAATAATGTGCATTAATCAGGTATGACATCAAAATTGCTTCTCATTTTATAGGGACCATCTAATAAATGGCTGGGGCGGGGGTCTGTGTATGCCGATTCTTGGTGTTGTATTTAACAGTCAGCTGAATATTAATGACTGATGGAAACTGAAACTTCCTTAAACTGATGTACTTAAACTAGTACGTCTTAACTTCTCAAAGTTTAAGAATATCCTTTAAGCTTTTATAGCCTGTTAATGTTCTCAAAGGTTGTCCATTAAAGCTAATGAAAACAGATACGTATAGCAACTGCACAAAGCATCAAACTAAAATAACAGTGTTCTTTCTTAACACTAGCTTCAAATGCCATCACCAGCAGGATTGCTCTGGGAATTCTGCTTGCACAGTTATATTCCACGTATACAGGAGACAGTGAAACACCAGGGACCTTGCTGCATTTTTGTGTAGCTCAGCGTTTTTGTGTAACTGCTGAGATTACTAAAGCATTAGAATGCATGCAAGCTGACTCGAGCTGAAACCAAAAAAAGGCCACAATGATACTAGTCAAAAAGAATATTCTTTTGAGAAAACTAGCCAAGACACAACTTCTATCCTATAGAAGCGGTGTGCTACTGCTCTTAATCTAATTGCAAATTGAAGGAGCATGTGAATGCTGGAGATGAAGCATTCACACTTGGAATGTGGCCTCAGAAGGGGGTAGATAAATGTGCAAGCAGGCCACTCTTGGGAAGCTTCCTTTCTGGAAGGCCCTTCCATCAACTGAATAAGTACTCAGCCCTGAGGTTTCCTTCTCACAGCAGCGGAAAAGAGGTAGGGAGAAAAGTTGAGCTTGAGAAGTCATAAACGAGAAGAATTTTTATCTCGGGAAGAAAGAGGTTCTTGAAACATCAAGTCAACTGTTATTTGTTTCTGTTCCGTAGGAGTAGTTCTGGAACTACAGAATGGGCAGTGTGTAAAACCTTACACTTACTACCATAACTGGAAGGGATTGTATTGGAATTCATACATAGCAGTAATTTGAACAGTTTTCAGGCATGCACAGTGTTTTTATTTTCAATAAGATACCTATTAAGATTTAGTAGGATTTAAATTTCAGCCTTGAGTTACTCCTAATTTTTTTAACCAACTTTTTCATGCATAATCTTTCATATGGCAAGCTAGATTTTAAGGAAAACTGAGATTTCCTGTAACTGCTTTCTGAATGTTGGTATGAGTAGAGACAATTTGTTCTCCTTGGGAAGCATGGTTTGGATTTTGCTTTTTGTCAAGCAAAGGTTTCTGTGTTTCAGCGTTTACACTATGAAGCCAACCAAGTTCCTTGGCTAGTTTCTGGGATACTCTGAGCATGGGCATTTGCAAAAGGCTGTCTGCCTTTTTCCTGCGGGTTTTGAGGGCCCATCTAGCAGGCAAAAGAAGGTGCGATTTAAGCATAAGACAAGTCTAGATGTATCCAGCCTCTACCTTAGAACAGTTCAGCATGAGAGGGAACAGAGTCATTTAAATGAGCTACTTAGATCTGCCTTCCCATGATGGGAGTTTTCCATTGGTGCTGGCTCACAATAGATGAGGTCAGTGCTGGACACTGAATGACAACAGTCCAACCATTTGCTAACAAAGAGTCCTTCAGGACTGTGTTCTAATGGAAGGTGACTCATTACATCAAGTGTGTAGTTATAGAAGTAAACTGTGAATATAATAACATTGAGAAAGATTATGGCTGTAAAGTAATCTATTCTGTACATTACATTTAGAGAAGTACCTATAACTTAATTTGCTGTACTTTGTGAAGAACTGGTGTGGAAGAATCATGATATTAAAAGACAAAAGGGAGTCAGGAGGTGTGGATTTCTCTAGATTGTAGTCAAAGGCAAACTGCTCCATTAAGCAGGCTTTCAAAGGTAGTGAAATCATTGAGAACAGGACACCTTTTGGAGATTTGGGCTTCAGTACCTTTTATCTACAGAAAACAGATCTATCTACAGAACAGTTTTGTGTGTGTGTGTGGTGGTTTTGTTTGCCCATTTTTTTTTTCTTTTAAACAAATTAAGCTTCTAGTAGTAGTTAAATTCATATAGGCTGTAGCTGTCTAAATAGTTGTAGCACTGTAAACTAAGATAATGCTTCACAACTCCCTTTTAGTTTGTCTTGAAAGAATAATGGTTTTCTAACTCGGCTTAATATGTGATCCCATAACTTGGATTTTCTTGGCTTTTTTCCTTTCCCTGCTCTTCTGCTTGCTAAAAACAAATGCGTAACTACAGGTCAACTTCAAATGCTGTTTCTCTGCTTTAGGTGACCGATGCAGTGAGTGAGTCGGAAGTTGCTCAGTGCAGTTGTAGGTAAGTCAGTAATCCACAACAGAAAAATAACGATGTCATACACAGGAGCATTTAACCACTATATTTTTTATAACTCCAATATAAACTACCAGAGCATGTTAAGATCAGTAGTGCCTTTACCCAGCAATCCTGTATTTGCTGGGGATCAGCAATAACTAACGTGCTGGAAAGAGGAAGAGACTGTCATATACACTTAGGTGGTAATCCCTAATCAGCAAGCTAGGGGGAAGAATTCCCTGGAGTTAATGGCTGGTGCCATAACAAGAGCACTTTTGCATCTCTTCTTGTCTCTGATGTAACTGAGTGCATTTTCTGTCTGCTTAAAAAAATATAGCAACCAAACCTTATCGGTTGGTTTTGTTGGCTGCTTCAGTCCAAAAAAAAAGTATCTTTTGACACCAAGATATTAACAGGCTTCAAACATACATATTTGTTGTTTGAATCCTAACTATAATCTTGATTTACTAGATAACTAACTTCTTGCAAAAACGCATTTATGTAGCACCTAGCTTATGTCTTCCAGATTCAGAAATTGACACAGAACAAGGATAAGGTTCAATCTTTTTTCCTGGTTATTTTGTAATTCTTTTATGGGAGGGATTGCACCTTTTTCAGGAAAAAAAATAATTTTAAGCTTCAGGTTGAAAGTAATACATACACAGTGTTACATCTACCCAACATTTCTAAATATACCTTCGAATGGAATCCAGGGCCAACACTTACACTGCAAATACTTAAAGTTCAGCCATTTTTCTGTTGCTATTTTTCTGTCACAAGAGGGGACCCCTCAAGACAGAGGCAGGTATTCACCATGGCTGTAGTTAGAAGAATGACCGAATTATTCTGTATAGAAGCATTTCTCTTCCAGTTGTTACCTTCTTATAGAGAGAACTAGCATATAATTTTGTGAGTATACCCTGTAATCTCTGTCTCTGAAGATCTATAGTTTTAAATATAGGAAACAATAATAAATATAGAAACAGTAGATCATTTCTTCCAGTGTAATTTTGTTACAACAGAAGTGAAGATATTTCATATTAAATTCATACATGCAGAAATCTGTAATGCTTTCTTTATAGCGTAGTGGATAACAGAGTTTCTCCAGCACTTGGAATAACCTGGGCAAATCAACTGCTAATGAGACTGATGGTCAGCCGAATGTCACAACCTGAACAATCGTCTGGAGTTGCGTCACATCTCACTGGAAGTGTGAGGACTTTAAGAGTAGTTTTTGCTCCTCATCTCCCTCCATCCTCTTGCTACTATACAGTAAAACTGGAAGGTGTAAAAGGAATAAATACATCCTTTGCATAGTAAAGCATCCTGCTGCAAAAATGTATCATCAAAACTACTTTGCTTCAGGAAGAATTATTGGTAAAATTAGACTCTTCCTGGATTACAGAAATGGATGCTGAAATACATAAATAGTTATATGACTACATTAAGCCCTGTCCACATTGTGAAAGAAGATCTTTTTATACTTGGATATATGTTTAGCAGCTTTTCCTCATGAGACAAGTATTCAGAAGGAGAGTAAACCTGTGGGCAGGTGGAGGCTGCACAATGAAGTGTGATGTGGCAATCCATGTTAGGGGAGACCTGATTTCTAATTTTGTTTTAATAGCATGCCAATCTAGAAACAGTATTTACTGCAATTGTATATCTTCTCTGTTTCCAGACCCAAAGGGATTCAAATTCAACCAGTTAATATTGCTTGCTGGTGTTTCTGGGCCTCATGCTGACATTAAGTACAGCCGTTCTTCTACCTGTAGGGCATCAAAAATAACACAGAGCAGCTTTGTCACAAAGCAGCTATCCTCTTTTAAAACTACTTGTTACTAGGATTTAAAAAATACCAGAAAGGTATTTGATTTTAACATCTTACTGTAAGAATTAAAATTGTAGTACTTTTGTACTATATGGGCATATGCTAGCTTTACAGAACTTCTACAGATTTTCTGGAAATAGTTCTTCTCCATGCTTTTCCTGCTTTCCAGTTCCTTTCCCTCATAGCAAAAGCCTCTTCCATTTAAAAAAATAACATACCACACCCCCGCCATCCCCTTGTTCTGTTTGCCCATCGCTGAAGCTGTGTAAGCAGGTAGTTTTAGAGCAAGTGCTCTGTTCGTGTTCTTCCCAAGGCTCCAGGCTGCTCTGTGTTTTGTTGGATCTGGATAGCATTCTTGATCAGCTTCTGGATTGCTACCTGTAGTATCGTTTGTCCTTACTGCAAGGCTCTTGGCTAAATTGTGCTTTTGAAAGGGACCTTTAGCCATTTGCGTCCATCCATGGCGCTATTACTCTTCTCAGGTTTTTGTTGGTGGTGTTGGAGCTTTAAACGTTTTTCTTTCCATCTTTGCACTATTTTATCACATCTTTTTCTGTTGTCCTCAGACTACTGCTATGACATCTACTTTTTCTAGGTTTTTTTTTTTCCTGCAGTCAATGTGAAAGAAAGCTAGATGAATGTAATCGTGCACATTTTCCAAAGGCCTTGGACCTTATTTGGCCTATATTATGTGGGTGCCTGCTCTTATCAGTGTATGATGCTCACTTGTATCACACATTGAGCTTTCAGATTTCCTCCTTCTACCTGCTTCCCCAAGTTGCCCAAACAAGAAGTCTACCAGAGTCTTAGGTTTTTCTGTGTAGTTACATTGCTCAGTTCTGTCTTTGGCAAATGAGAACCTTTTGTTCTCATAGGCTGAACAATAAAATCTCTTCCATAAACACAAGTTCAGAGGAATGTCTATCACTTGGTAAAAGGCAAGTCCAGACACATTCGTTTTGTGCTCTTCAGGTACACTATATTAGTGAAATAGCCACTGTCTCTCCCTAGTAATACTCTCAGGATATAGCAGCCGTCTTTTCTTGTGGAAGCATGCAGCTGGGTAGCAGAAAGGAAAAGTTTTGTCTAGCTGTACACTGGGTCAGCTGGAACTCCAACAGAAGAATTCTCAGAGGACAACCAAGTATGACACAAGGAGAAGAGACCCAGGAAGACAGGGACTGTGTGACTGCTGCAGGGAAGTTCTTGAGGAGAACAGGCACAGTCACAGCTTGAAGCTGAAGGAAGGAAACTAAGCAAGCAGAAAGAAGGCTGAATTGCCTTCAGTGCCTTCTGAGATCCCTTCATCTAAGGGGACCTTGTGCAAATAGCATAACAAATTGTCTTTAAATCTCTTTTCTAAATAAATGTCTTAATTCTCTGTATTTGAAAATGACCATGCTTTGCTGTTTTTTAATAAAATCCAACCATGAAGCTCAAAAGTCTTTGTGTACTTAATCTAAGGAAAAAGTGAGAGTCCTATAGCTCAGAGGCATAGCTACCTGTGTCTTCAAATCTTATGTTCCATGCTTCCTTCCTCACAATTTTAATGAAGATAAACTAAACTAATGCAGCATAGGTAACACTCAAGTTATTCTTTTCCATTCCTGGCCTGTGTATCTGGGACAGGAACTTAAGCCAGTATATTGCTCATCCTCTTGTACTAATTTGAGCTTAAAAAAAAGCACCACAGACAGATGTAGCTGATAAATGGCAGTCAGTCAACCCCTACCCAGGCATTCATTTACAAAAGAGGCCTCATTGATGCCCAGGCTCCAATCCCAGGAGCTTGCCTCACTGTGAACCATGTTCAGAACAGTCCAATACACTTCTTAAGGCTCATTTTTGTAGTATTTTGATACTTTTTTTGCAACCTGACTGCTTGCAGGGATGACACCCAAGTGTTAAAGTCACAGACAGGTCTGTAACCAAAGTCCCAGTTTAGCTGGTGAAAAACACTTTTACCAACAAATTTAAGTAACATCTTACCTGAGCAACTCTTCCATTCATTGCCCATGTTGGTTCTTATTTAACTTTCCAGCTGAAGGCTTAAATCTGAGTTGGAATATGTTGCAGTGTGTTTCCTAGCTCGTCATCACACACAAACCCTGAACCTCTAAAATGCAACAGCCCCCCCCCCCCCAAATTTCTAGCCAAAAGAACAGCCCCCCCAGCAGTTGAACGTTCATGTGCAGTTTCTACCTCTTTCTTCAGTTACTTACATCTGCAGTCAGAAATCTAGAATATTGTTCATCTTGTGCAAGTACAACTTTGGGGGTGCAAACCCTCATGAAGACTGAACAAAGCATCTGCCCTCTTTGAAGCCTTGTGTCAAAAGTGTTGAAACATGCTTAAGTTTTAATAAATGCAGTTGAAGAACCTTCCCTTTATACAGCTTTATTCATCTTTGGATTTCACAACTGAGATTTGTTTCTATACAGGAAAAAATTGAAGTAATTTTTACAAAGAAGATTTACATTCTAGAATGTATTAGGTGTATCATCTTTATCCTGTAATACTACATTTAAATATTTGTCTGCACTTTGAAAAGAAATGTTAAGTGACACTTGAGAAACTTTTAAACAGTTTCAAATTAATCTACAGATCTGTGATGTATTTAAAGATGCCTTTTTCAGCAGAAAGATCATATAGGGTTCTGGAAACATTGCTTTGGGAAAGTAGAACCAAATTCATTTGTGGTTGCTAAAGATAAAGAAGTTCCACAACTGACCTATTAACAAAACAGATGTAGTAAAACACACTAAACAATCTCATTACAAGTTTCTTGATGAAATCACAGTGAATTCCTACTACTTGTTACAAATAACATTTGTGGAAGTTTATTTTCAACAGTTTTATGGGGTAAGACAAACAGGTGACCTCTGAACAGGATTTCATCCATAGCTGTGACAAGCAGTAACTACACATGGAGATCAAAATGCAGCATCTTAAAGCCAATCTTGGAAGGTTTATTATTTTTCTTAAACATGAAATCCACATTTGCAGGGGCGGGGGGGGGAGTTCTCCTCAAGAAGGATACATTGACATTACAAATGGTTTTCTGGTTTTGCTGCTGTTAGGTTTTGGGTTTGTTTTTTAAACCAGGTCCTAGAAAACAGAAAATACCATTCCTGATTGCATAGAACTCATCTGGCTTAATTATACTGTAACCTACCACCGCTACTGTATAATGCTTCTATTACATAATTTAAAGACTCAGTAACTTTCTGTGCTTGAATAGGGACTCGAGTATAAATACAGGGAGCCTAAGGATCGATCTGGTTTTAAAAACTGCTTCACTATGCTTGTTCCATGCTGTATACAATTTAGTCTCTTTTGTGTGTCCAGCACAACTGTTAAGAGCAGCTTCCAGCTTTTTAATGTAGCTGGAGCGTTAAATGAACTTCCAACTATAGTTCTCTGAATACTTCTTATTTAAAAGCAGCCATAACTAAAAAAGAGGTCTGCAACTTCATTATGAGCATAAGCATCTTCTCAACAGCTCAGGTCTTTTGACTTTTATCAGGTGGTGGCACTGTGTTTTGCTTCTTGCTTTGTTGTTTTGGGCTTTTTTTAAAAAAAAAAAACCCAAAACCAAAACTACTGACCTTGGCTATTCAGTGTACTGAGACTATTGTGAATGATTTGAGGGGAAAATTAATCAAATGTAGATCTTCAAGATTTCCCTCAATTCTAAACTATTAAAAAAAAAAAAACAAACAAAAACCACCAAAACCCCATGTTTATACCAATACTTCTGTAAGTCTGTGACACTGTAAATTTGCCACAATGAAACTGTAAACTTCATGGCATCACATCTTTTAACATTTATTCTCTCAGTACAGGCTAACATTAATGAAAATGCAATTCTCTTAGCAGCTTTCAGACAAAATACATGACCTGCATAACAAAAACTAAATTAACTTGAACTCATCAAGTATTGTAAACACACTTTCAACAAAGCACTGCACACCCCTTTTACTTATATTTACAACAGGACCACACCATTTTCAAAATTACTGGATTCAAATGATACAATTTAAGCACAAATACTTCTCAAGCTTAAAACCATTTTAAGTTACTACCATTCAGGAGGGCTTGCACGGACGGGACAGGAGGTGCTTGTTTTAAGAAAAGGTACAAACTCTAGGTAACATGTCCAATTGTTTTTCCATTGTTTAAGTGCTATCACTGCAGTACTGCAGGCACAAACATCACACCAACAGTTCAGGTATTCCTCTGAAAGAGGAGCAAATCATGAAACAGTTACATTTTACAATGATATTTCGTAAGATCTAAACTCAAGACCAAATATTGCCAATATTCCTAAAGACTAGCACACAGCGAGACAGAAGGGCAACAGGCACCTCTCTATCGGTAACAATTCAATGTGTCAGTCATCCTACGTGCAACCCTCCCTGACTGTATGCCCCAGAAGAGCGAGCCACCGTTCATAGGAGAATCTAGAGGAACTGGCCTAACCTAGAGTCCCCATTACGTTTTTAATGAAGTTCACCCTTACAATTCTGGGGAAGGACAAACATGCTAGATTAAAAACACAGCAGCACTACCACAGTTGCACTTAGTTTCTAACAAGATGTCTGTCAATTTTGAGGGTCTTTTCTAGTTTTCTGTTTCAACAGAGCTGTTGATTTAGTTTGGTACTGAAGACATCCAAGAATTATACAATTAGGTATCCAGTTTTATACTTTATGCAGACTGTTGGTTACAATTGGAATAGAGGAAATTCAGAAAGAAAATCTTACATAAAAGCAAACTGAGAAGCCCACCTGAAATTTACATGTATACAAACCATGTCCTGACAGTAATTCATTCATGATTCAAACACAAGGAATGTTGACCTTAACTTTGTTTTTGTACTTTACAAGTTCTTCTCAAACTGCAAACAGCTCATTGGCTCATAACTGTAAGGACTTGGCTATCATTCTTGGGGATTTATGCATTAAGTAAGTCTGGAAATTTGTTTCTTCTCTGAAAAAAAAAAATTAACCTTTTAAATATAAGAATTGTTTAATAAGCAGTAGCTCAACAACTTAAATCTTCCAACACTTTAAAATACTATATAAAGGTTTAAAACATTTAAAAGCACAGTACTAGTAATGCCATCAACAGTACAATCCTTCTAAAGGAGGATCTTCAGGAAGGAGTACTTCCTTCCTAAAGGAGGAAGTTTCCTCACTATCACCATCAACATACCACAGTCTTGCATTTTAAGGTTTAATTGTAATGGCATGGTTAAATATTTTATTGCTGTTTACAAAAGTTTGGGTGGGTTTTTGTTTTGTGGGTGTTGTGCTTTTTTTGGAGAGCTGCAAAAATAATTTTCCTTCAAAGTTGTAAGATGAATGTGGAAAATACATTTTTCAATTTAAGTAATTCCTTATTACCGAAATCAGTTCTGTGTCTAGTTTCGTGGTTTTTTTGGAAGCCAGACTTTTATAACGGTCTCTGAGTGAAACACTGAGCTCTACAGAAACGCGTATTCCAAGGCCTGCTGAGCCACTCCTATAGCAGTAGCATCGTGCTGGTGTGAAACAGGTGGACTGCGAGGGGTGTTTGCAGTGAGAGTTTCTCATGGTACAGCTGGAGGGACAGATGACGCCACCGCAGCGGCACCGGCTGCGGCAGAGGGTTCTCCTGCCGCCTCCCCGGCCTGACTGTTGGTTGGAGACGGGCACCCACCCAGCCTGGCAACCTGAGGTACAGTTCCTTCTGCAAAGCTAGCTCGGTCTGGCTTTGTGCAGAGAACTGACTTCACCAATGGGTGTATATAACATGTTTTGCTTTAGGGGGAAAAGAAAAAGTATATATATTATGTATTTTTTACTATAAAAAGCTCTTAATAAAAAGATTAAAACTCTAGAGTCTACATTATGAGTATATATTGTTAAGATAACTGAGCAACAATCTGTTCTTGCTCAAGTTCTTTAATGAATTGCACTACTCTGTGCTAAAACTTCTACATATTAGCAGCATCATATCTCACCATTTCTAAACTGTCTTTATGGCAGTTATACCATACACAGCTTGCTTTAAAGAGATGCTAATAAGGTACCTCCTGGTAAACATAGTCAAGTGCATTACATATACAACTTTTTGCATCAGGTATTGTAACACAACTTAAGACCAGATGCAAAGCCACTCAAATACTTCTACGAAGTACTAATTCTAATGACTCTTCACACCTTGTTCAAATATTAAAACTTGCTTATGTCACTATGTTTTACCTCCATCAGTTGGTGCTAACCTTGAATGAATATTCCAGCTTTTCCCAAAGTTAATTTTGTTCGGCATTTTCCAACTCACAACTATGACCACAAATACATTTGTACACACACTGGTTGGTTTTTTTTTACTTTCTCATCCAGCTTCACATGAATAAGAATTTTTACAAAAGATGAACAAAATTACAAGCTTTACAGAAAAGCAAAAGGAAATACTAGCATCTATAAAATACTTAAAACATACATACTTTGTTCCAGCAGCAGTCCTGTATACAGACAGCATATATATTAACCGTAAGTAGATTTAACATGGATGTGTGGTCAAACGAGTTGCTTGCCACTTACAGCCATCTAGTGCTTCCACTGGGGCCCTTAGGATTTGAGTGGTCCTTTGCACAGCAGCTACTCCACAGTGTAACAGCCTAGCGTGCAGTTGCCTGCTTCTGCTGTCATCGGCTATTACGGAGAAAAGCAGGATTTGGGATAAGCATAAGGAAATGTTGGAGCACTTTCAGCATACAGAGAATGGGATTGTGAATTCCAGTGGACAAGCAAGAAAGTCAACCTGAGGCTTGATGTCTCCCTAAGAGCAACAGCAGCTGCTCTGGGACAGTTGCAGTCCAAAACTTCAGTATTCTTCAACCATACAACGCAAAGGTCAAAACAATTTCCATTTCTCCTGATCAACATGAACTGTCCTGTCTCTATCGCCTATTGTGCCCTAAGACGTATATCAACAAGCATCAAAGTTCTGGTCACAGGTATTGCTATTCACGCTATCTGTATGTAATGTAACCCCAACCATCTCTTCTGTAAAATTTAACAGCTTGATCTAGTGGTTCAGTAAGCCATGTCTAAGTGCTGTTTTGCCAGCTAAGGTTTCTAACATTAATCAGTGGTGCAAAGGAAAGCCCCACCAATACAGTATGCTCAATCTGAATTTATACAGTAATGCGCATAAATTTATCCTTTTCTCATTCCAGCACTGTATATATTTAGCACTACGCATTTAATTTTGCCTGCATTTTCAAACACGTTTGCATTTTGGTATGCTTTAAATATGTTTGTATTTTTAAATTTTTTTGGCTGCTGTAATATTCAGATGTATTAAAGAAATCAACTTTAAGTAGCATGAATGGGAGCAGTGCAATGAGCAATATATATCTATATAGTTTTCCTGTAGAAGAAAATACCCACTAATGCTGTGTTTAAAATTGTCCCTATTTAGAAAAGTAAAAACAGCAGTCCATTGGAGGAAAAAAACCCAAAAGTCTACAAACTAGATGTTCCTATACATAATGATGAGGAACCAAAGCTTTGAAGGTCTCAGTGCTTCTTTATTCACAAAGGAATATTAGCTAGCTTCTGTCCAAGAATCTCAATGCGCCAAATCAGTATGACTGACACTCAGAGCTCTTGAGTCTGTCAGACAATTATTTCGTTCCTGTGTGAAGGGGAAAAAAACAAACAAACAAACAAATAAATTAAGCAGATGTCCAGACAGTTCAAGCAAATAAACAAAATTACTAGCTTCAACAAATATGAAGAACTACAGAGAACTGGCCTTGTTCATGTTGGGTAGGGAGACTTTTCCTGTGTTCTAATAAACATCTTTTTCCCCCAACTTTTAACTAGCAATGCTGAAAATATCTATTGGTAAGTATATACAGCCTTTACAATCCTGACCCAAGTCTTACCAGAAATGCAAAAGCCCATCTATGGGAATTGCCATGTGTCTATGGTGGGTGAACGAGAAAAGTTCACAAGAAGTGAGAACCAATTTTAATATCACAGCGTATAAACAAACAATAAATTACTCTTCTGGAAGTCACATCAATTATATACTAAGGATCCATTTTAGGGGCACAGCATTTTCAAACCTTGGCACTGCTGCTGCAAAGAATTATGCTTTACCCAGGATTTTTTTTTTTTTGGCTGAACGTCACTCTAAGCTAAGTTTTGCATACATTTCACACCACAGAAAGCTCTGCAGTATGTTCATTAGAGATAATATAGTTTAGACACCTTTATGCCACTCAACAGTAAAATGAGAGCCATACAGTTTGGGCTTTCTTGCTACTGTAGGACAAATAGCGAAGAAGATCCTCGTGTACATTTTGTTAGTACAGAAGCAATTTTGTCTTCCTAAAATTAGTTGCAGTTACTGTGTTAGTAAAATGCACAACAGTGTTTAGAACGCAGAACATTGCTAGCTTGTTTGACAATATAAGAAACAGTGACTTATTAGGTAAAAACAGAAAATGGGAAGTAGCAATTGAGCACACCATATACGGTTAAGCAAAATAAGAAGGTTTTATATTAGGAAAAGCATAACATAGATCAGACAAACTTTTAGAGACTGCTCCTGTGCAACCTCAGAAACAACTGAAGTCGCATTTAAGGGAATCTGAAAATGTACAGCAATTAAGATGATTGGGCCCTTTGCAATAAAGGGGCTCATGTAAAAAATACTTGGTAACTGGGCTTTAAAAGTTCTTTTGTTTTTAAGCAGCATTTACAAGAACATAACATTCCAGAAGTTTCCTATCCTCTGTAATAGTTAAAAGGTCCAACTGGTCGGAGTTAAGCACTTGCTTAACATTACACATAATTCACAAAAGAGTTACAGAATGATGCCTTAAGCAGACGCTTTAAGCATCTTACTGGAGTAGGATCTTACCAATCACTAGGAGTTTGTTGTTTTATTATTTATCATGCTCTTTTATCTCAAACCCTACTTATGATACCTATTTTTGTAAGAGTATTGTAGGGCTTCTTACTTGAAAATGATCTTCAGTAGCCTTGCCACCCATGTTAAGAACATTCAGAGAACTGGCACGCTTCATGCTGCAACCAGGACAGTGAACATGCAAGGATAAACCAATCAGAATAGCTGAAAACTAACAGCTCTAAAAACACAAGTATAACAATGAGCAATGCACAGTTAAGGGATTTGGAACAATGCCCCAAAACTGATCTGAGGGATACCCTTTAAGGTAACTACGTAACTTAGAATATGTTTATATTCGGTTCTGAATTACATATAAAACCAAAAAAATTACAAGCTCCTTAGAGCTTAAACATTTCAGGCAACTGATTTCATTTCAACTCAAAATCTCAATTTTTAAAGCATATCAAATACATACACTGACTTAGCATTGATTTTTAATTAATTCATTCTCAGTTTCAATTTTATGCAGCTTCTTACAAAAGCATCAAAACATTCAGACAGTTTAGGAAAAAAAATGTGAAATAGGAATAAGTTTGTCACATAGGCAGCATTTAACTCGGAAAAGCTACAATAAACATTAGTTTAGTACTTTCTGCCTCATCTAGGTAAGTCTCCAGAATCTATTTCAAAAAGCATTTTAAAATCTTTTATCTTCATTCATTTCAAAGTAAAGGGAAATAAGATGGTTGCTGCTATTAACTCTGGTTATGCTTTTGGCTTTACAATGCTCTGAGCCGTAGTAACAACCCTACAATACTGTACTGAAAGCAACAGATAAGGAGATAAGGGGGAAAAAAAAAAAATCACCACCTACACAGGAGCTACTGACAGGCAAAATATCACTGCATTAACAGTAATATCTACTGTTGTTTGGGATGAGGATTAATAATTTATCTACATTTCTCAAACATATACAAAATTTAACAAAAATATTTTAAAGTGTGTGTAACAGAATTCAAGATTAGTCTTAAGATTCCTATCATCTTGGTGACTACAACAGGAACGTCTGATGTCCTTTATCCCAAAGTGTCTGTACATTACTCAGAATGTTCTACATTTGCTTTGATTTTTCACTAGCTCTTTAACTATTTCAAAACTACTACATGAGGGCTTTGAATATATATTTGATGAACTATTCACAAGACAGTAAGGCCCTAATCCTGCAGGGCTACCTACAGCTTTTGAGACAACTGGATAATGCAAAGTTTCCAATGCCTTCCAATAACATGGAAAGGTTTATCCATACAGATCACATTAGATATTCACCAGTTTTTCTTTCTACTGAAGCAAGACTACTAACAGTCAAAATCAAGCACGAGTTATAAATGCTTTCATAAAGCAAAGGCTTAGCAGAAAAAGGAACCAAAACACTAACAAACACAGGCACCAGCTGCCACATAGCATAGGCTTACTGTTTTTTCCTAGCACTAAATCTGAACGTTTCAAAAGCTAGAATGCACACAATTTAAAATATTTGACATGAGTGTTAGCAACAACAAAGCAAGGACTCATGCATGGTATACTCCTCTCATTTATTCAATGAAACATGTACAACAGAGGTTATATATGGAAGTCAAAGTAAGTTAATCTTTAAAACACAAACAAAACATTACATAAAACTCTTCAAAAGAGCATAAAGGCTTACAGAAAACATTCCAGGGAAATAGAAAATCCACCAGTAAAAATTTACACAAGTATTTTTAGGTTCTTGCTGAAGTGCCAATCAAAAAAGAAATTTTTAATCATGCATGAGATACTATTTTGTTTGTGGGCTGGGGTTGGTTTTGTTTGTTTGTTTGTTTTTAAATCAACATACTTAAGAACTTTAGTCTGGCAAATGCACTTTTAATTCCCTCCATGTTAGAAACATGATCACACAAATTGCATGCAGTTGTTTTTCTGGTGCGTAAGTAATAGCAATAATGAAAGCTTTTTTTCCCCCCCTCTTTTAAACTACAAATCTTAACTGTTCTGCTGTATGATCAAAATTTTCAAACTGAAATAAATCAAACCTAACACTAATTAAGCGAAGTTAAATTTTTACAGAACTGAATTCAGAAATACGATAAAGAACGAACTGATACCATGCTTCAGGTATTGTATGTTTCAAAGAACAGTTCTTAAGAGATTTGTTCTTTGTCAGAAAGACTTTTGCATTATTTTAAAGAAACAATTTCCCTGATGAGTTTTCCACTTTATTCTCTCCAACCTTCTGTATCAAGCAACAACATGAAAACTAAGTCTTTCTTTCATGCTGTGGTATTAAAGTATTTCTATTTGAGTATTTCTCATTCAAAATCATACCACCACTGTCAATTACTATTTACAGAAGCACAGTATAAACAACAGATGTAAACCAGTTTCAAAATAAAGTCTTCATAGACACACAGGCAGGGGATGCAGAGGCATACTGGTAAGGAGGGAGGCAAATGAATCTTCCACCTAGAGTGGCTGACTTCATAGCAAAAATGATTCCTATGTATGCTATGTCAGTATTGTAATATTCAGCTAACAAAGACACTAAAAACAAAAGGTTTGCATAATAAAAGCTGAATATCCCTTTTATTAACCTCAGAAGCAGAAAAAAATTAAATCAATTTACTAAAGTTTCTTCAGAAAATGAAATCAAAATGACTTCTTGGAATATCAATATGTACAGCTATGCTTCATGATCTACAAAGCTGGTGTTTAATACCAGGAATCTTTGCATTTGTTATTAAAACCAGCTAATATAAGTTAGGATTAAAAAATGTCTATACATTACAAGAACAGAAATTGTAATCTTTTCAGCGTGCATATCTACATAAAAGTCTGTCAATGCAACACACTTATTGCAAGGTTTAAGAATAAATTATTCTTTGAGAACTACGGTGACATCTAAAAAACAAGAATATTTTGTCAAAAAGGAAAAGCAAGAAAGATATCGCTTTGTTTTCAAATTTGTTTCACACTGATGTCTTTATATGAAGAAATCTTATCTGGTGATACAGACCCCACAATATAATTTATGTGAATGTGGGCAGGTTACTTCTACATTGGTCAAGTAGCACTACTGAAGTGCACAGAATAAAAAGGCAGAGGAGTTCTTACAGGACACTGCAAAGCCAAATGTCTTCAGTTATATGTAAGCGTAATTTTCTACACCTATAATCACAGAGTTACTTTACCTGCAGAAAAAGGTATCTCTATTTACTATAGAGAACAAGGAATAAAACTCTTCGTCTTTCAAGAAACTGAAAAACCTTCCCATGTCTCCCAAAAATTAGGAGAAAATACAAAATTAGCTATGAATATATGCATCTACTCATACAAGAATATACCTGAACTATGATGTATGAACTGTAGACAGAATTGAATAGAAACAGAAAACCAATGTATAAAAATACTAATACTGAAGACAAAGAAGGAAATCCCTTTTATTCTATTTTGTCTTGCATTTGCTTGTTTTCCCTAAAGCATTTTACATTTACATATTTCCTTCTTCTAATCACATGCTTTTCACAGTTTATTCCCAATCTATCATCTCAGAGGCAGTCCTTAATGATCTATCAATTAATGCAAAGGGATTTTTGACCTTGAATTTGATTCAGTGCCTTCAACATCAAGTCTCTGGCAGCTGAGAGTGAAATTTTAATTAACAATTCTAAAAAATCAGATCAGCCTGAATTTGAAAGAGATATGTGAGGAAGCAAATTCTACGTGTATTGCAGCTGTACACAATGTTTTACAGCCACATAAAAACAATAAAGCAAAACTTCATTGGAGCACTTACAAAACCACATTGAGACCCTGCCTCCAGATCACTGCCTTGGGTGTTACCATCATCATCATCTACTATATTACTCATAGGTCCAGTTGCTCCATCAGAAGTTGCTCCAAGTTCTCCAATTTAACTGTTTTAAAGCGCAAGTTCAAATTCACATTGTCATACAGTTTCCTGCCAACTAAATGAACTGCAGTTTTCCACAGCAAGGGGAAAAAACCCTGCAAAACTGATTGCAATTATGTTGGGGATGAGGGGGAATACCCATGAGCGATATTATGAAAAACAGTAGTACATTTTAACATTTCAGCTTCTCTGCAGCGGCCAATAAACAATGGATGTTTTTAGGCATTTATTAGAAATAGTACATATATCCAAATCCACAATCATATGGTAAATAGGAAAGAGTGAGAAGTCAGATCCATTAAAATTTGAGTTTTTACCACTGACTTCACTGAGGCCAAAATGTTAGAGATGGACAACTAGGTTCAAGTTTTTCAACGTTCTCCTCTGCTCTCTGAAATCTGTGTTTTCCAAAATAGAAACTGAGAAGGGCTCAAGTTGGTAATTCCCTTTATACCCACAGCAATATATAAAGCTGTATCAAGATACTAAGCTGTATCAAGAATGTTAGTTGTGGGTTTACTGTATTCAAGCTTTTACTGTAAAAACCAATAACCTTTATTATTCTTCACTGCTGTGTGAAAAGGAGAATTCTGCAGGTAACTAACATTTATCAATAATTCCATGAGGCTTTTCTATTCTTCGAGTGGCTAAACCAGTAAAAAGGGAAAAAACACTGTTAAAATTGAGTTAACTCTTAAAAGCACAGATAATTCCTCAGATGTTACAGAACTTTCATTATAAGAAATTATTTCCTATTTTATTTTTCTTTAAGATATAAATCTGTTATGATATGCAGTTAGCTAAGCAGAGAAGAAAACACTGCCCTAGGTACTACACTAGGCTACAGTGGGGGCACAGAATGAAGGCACGCTAGCACAGCTAAGAATAAATAATTACCCTGGATTCTTTGGTTCACTGTCCCGTGAACTTCCTCCCTTCAGCTTTCTAACCAGCTTCTCACTGCTCCGTCTAATGGAAGCACGAAGTTTGCTAAAGGAACCACTGCGTTTTAAAGATCCAGTGCCATCCTGAAAAAAATTGAACAAATGTGAAACTGCAAGAGTTTCTTGCCCTCCCCCAAACCTGGCTCAAAAACATTTCACTGATGAATTTTTTTTTTATTGCTATTAATACATACTTGGTACAATTACTTAAACACGTAATACCATATAGCTACAACTTTACCAAAACAAACGTGTTCCAAACTGTAACAAAGATTTCTAAAGCGTGAAGACATGCTCAAGCCATGATTCATAATAATCAGTACAAACCCACCACAGTAGTCAAATAATTCACCATGTTACCATTTCATATGAGCGCACTGTGGTTAACAGAGTACAAGCCCCAAGCAAAAGCATTCCATCAGTCTAAGAAAAAAACCTGTATTATTCCTTCTAAACATCTACATTACTTGCAAACATGTTTAATTAATCCTAAAATCCTTAAACAAAAATACTTCTGATCAGAAACATGTATGGTTAAATTCCTGTGCTTCGTTTTAACTTTCACCAAAGAAAACGTAAAACACAATGAAATGAGTTTTTCATACATGTATTCGTGTCTTACATTGCTGTGCTGATCCAAAGAAATTTCCAACTGACCACAATTCTATTTACTCTTAAAAAACCCCAACAGTTTAGTAAGATTAGAAGAAATGAACACCTCCTACTTCACAGAAATCCCACATGATTATGAAAGAAGAATTGTAAAAGAAGAAAGTAAAGTACTACTAAGCAGACAAAGACAGACACCTGAGTTGGAGTGAGTTTATTAGAAGTTAGAAAGACAAATACACAAATCACTGAACACCAAGATTAGTAGAGAAAAGCATAATTGCCAAAATCTCACACAAAGACTAAACAGCAATGCTACTTTAGAATAATCATAAGTGAAGACATCCAGAGTTCCATATTGATGTTAACCATGTAATAGGTCTCTAAATACATTTTAAAGCACTTGGAGAACATGCCTTACTTTTATGGGGTTTGTTTGGTTTTTCTCCTGTAAAGATCACCATCATGCCATTTCAATAATACCTTGTGTGATACTTTTAACTACCTTTTTTCCATAGTGAACAGCTACTTATAAAGTTCATTATTACTTTTTTTTTACTAATGTATTACACACAGCAAATGGTTGTAATAACATTTTGTATGACTAGATACATATCTGGCAAAGCTACACATGTACAGAAATAGAAAACCAAATAAAGACACCAGCACTGAAGGAATGGCCAGTTTACAGGGAAGTGTAGCTCTGACAAGAATCTTAAGGGGTTTGCTAAAACACAGCAGTCAGTACTGAAGAGAGAAGTTAAAGCTTGAAGATGGTGCACGCCCGTCATGCAGGAGACAGTATAAGAATCACAAAAGGCATCTAGGCCTGTCAGAAATGGAGAGAGAAAAACTGAATGAAACTGTTGGGAAAAATTCAACAGTTTTCAATTTTGAACAGTTATGTTTACAGTATTTCTAGGTCACATTCAAAACAATTTTTTCTGGAGTAAGTATTTGGACTGCCCTTAAGAACAAAGTGCAGGCCCTTGCAATTACCAGAACATATATCTTTATACAGTTTCGTCTATATCACTAATATGCAACTTACAAATGAGCATGAACGATGCTGTGCATTCTTTAAGTTAGAATTTGTATAAAATACAAAACACCTTCAAGAAGGCATAGCTTTAGTATTACATTTTGTAAACAAAGAAAGGATTTTTTTTTCAGCTGACTAACACAAAAATAAAAATAAAGAAAAAAAACAACAGAAGAAAGGAACAGAGCAAGGTGCATTCATTTCAGCTTTAACTTCTGTCAGGAATTTTCCTCAAAACAGAACTGCAAGAAGAAAGAGGTCTTCCCCTAACCTCCAGACAAAATTCTGTTCATTCCTTTAAGGAATTAGAATCCAACTGACTTGTGGCAATTCAGTTTCATGAATATTTTTTAGAACATATCTGTGTGTATATATATAATCCAAGTGGAAACTTCTCCCCCTAATGCAGTGAGGCAGCAGAAAGAATCCACCTTTAAAAATAAGCTGTGGTTCAATTAACACACTTTCCATTCTTGGTGTAAGCACACAGACCATTACTGACAGTCTTAAGAAATTGTTTTGAGAGCCTTTACCTATAGCAAGGAATGAACAGTAATTAAAATTATTCTTGGAAATAGCAAAATGCCTTGCTACCACGTGATCAGAAGATCAAAATCTGATTATTTATGTTTCAAACTAAATTGCATATATTGTTCACACTTTAAAACAGACTTCAGCTCTGCAGGACTGAATAAACTGAAGTCGAAATTCCGATTAGAAGTATTAGGTCAGTGAAAAGGCTAATTATTCCTGCGGTCTTAAATCAGCAATGCTATAGTAGTGATAATGATTCAAAGAATAAAGGCAAGACAAATTTGGTAGTTGGAGAGTATAACTTTTATTATGCTAACTAGCACATTAGGAATAAGCAGACAAGCTTTTGGGTACTTCAGATCTGAAATAAAAACATCAAACTCCCAAGTTAAACACTGACTGACTGCATGATTAACAAAACATCTTTAAAACATAAGCTTAGGATTAAAAAAAGTCCTAAATCCAGTGTAAACAACAACAAAAAATAATCACAAGAGATATCCATTTGCAGCAAAGTTTAATTGCCAATTTTTATGTCACTCAGAATGAGAATCACCTTATTACTTTTGCTTACACCTCCCCACCATCATCACCTCCTGTACTTTGCAGTTGTCTGCTACAATGCGCCTCTGACTGTCTGACACTTCTTATTAAACAAGAGCAACTCTTACCAGCTAGTCTATGGCAGAGAAATTTATTGCTTTCATTTCACACCTGAAAGCAGACTTACATGCCCAAAAGCTTGTCTTTTTGAAGCATATGGGTCAGAATAAGAAAAGATACTTCTTCACATTGAGAACATTATCTTAAATTAAGCACTATCACATCACAAAGATTTTTGTCCTGCAACTGGCTGCAAGATCAATTTACAGAAATGCCAACTACAGATACCACTGTCATTTTTTATATACAAATGTAATACGGGATACAAATCCTGGGATTTCTACCTTGAATTTTTAAGACTGAGTATTTATTTGCATTTTCAAGCTAACTTTAAGGGATGGACTTCACAAGAAACATGTAAAAATGCACTATGCAATGTCACTTAACATGTCTGTTTTAATAGTTAACGGCAGATTTACTTCAATAGGTATTTCGGGTCTTTTTGTAAGAGTGTAAGATATTACATCAAAGACTATAATGCTTAATATGGATTACATTACATATGGAAGTCACTTAATTACAGTAAATCTTCCAACAAAAATTTTTTGTTGAAGTTCATTGCTTTACACACTCCACCTATTCTCTCTGACAATCAAAACCATGAGTCAGCTTGATGACTTCAGAAGAATTTAAATGGAAAAGGCAGGCCTCTCTTCAGGCTCTGCACACTGAAGTAAAAAATTCTACTATACTTTATGAATCAGAATATTTTGTCTGGAGGAAACACACGAAGGTAAAAAAACCTACACAATATAAAGTAGAGGAAAGAACAGCACTGAGATAGAAACACTAGCAGGGTAGAGGGAGAGAGAGTTGCCCACTTTATGTAAAACATGTAATACAAAATACCTTCTCTTAAAAGGAGAAAAAAAGAACAAAGATGAAAATAAAGCAATGTCACTTCAGCACACTAAAAATGAAAAGTTTGTTTGCCCTGAGAGGTCAAAATCTAATTTTTCAGATCAACAAATTTTATCACTGAGTTTGATTCAAATATTGACCTAGAAATACTGTCTATTGCTTTTCCACAGAAGGTCCTTTCAATCCAAAACCTGCATGCTTGTTTAATTAATGTCAATAACAGAAAAAAGTTTAATCCATTTAGAACATATAGTCATGCAAAGTACAGCAAAAATTAAGGGAGGAGTACAGTACACAGTTCTAACACTGAACGGGCAAAATGAGAATTAAAAAAAAAGAGTTATCCAACCTTACTTTGGCTTTATTAATGATGCAGTATTATTCACAACAGATGCTGATTGACTGTCTTGGCACTGAGAACACCAATGCCAAGAAAACAATAATAAAGAGACAAAAGCAAAGATGGAAAGAACATTCTCCTTTAAGACTAAAGCAGTATGCGTTTTATCGAGGTTTCTTTGGAATGCTAAACTTTGTCTCATGTGGCTAAAAAAAGAAGAAAAAAAAAAAAAGATTGCTATTTTAAGAGAAACGAAACTTCAGAACGCTCAATATTGCAAAGTAGGCTACTTCCCCTCCCATACAGCAAAAGCAGGCAACACCACTTTTATAATCTAAAAGAACATTTTCAGCAGAACTGCAGCTAGGAGTTAGTTAACAGAGCAATATATATCCCATTGCCAGCAATGGGATAAAGCATGGGAAAGCTGGTGACAGAAGCAAACAACTACATAAGCCAGATCAATAACTGAAAGCTTGCACTACCTTTCAAATTAAAAGAAAACAATGGTTAGAAAAATGCATATGTAATCACATTTTATATATATGTTTTTACTTTATGACAATCAGTGTTCCACAGTGAAGCCAATATATGGGAAACAAATAGGAACAAGCCCTTACTCCAGTCAAATTCTAATACAGGAAAGTGATATTAATATTTCACTTAAGAAATGTGAACTTACGATCACATTGCTATGTGATGGCACTGCTTCTTAAAGTGGCTTGTATAGCAGCTTGAAAAGTGATATTATTTCCTCTAACAAGTTGGGTAAGGAGATTAGAATCATTTTAGTGTTAGACTGATCATTTTGATTTACTCTAAAACTGATAATACCCAACACATCTCCATAGCAAATGTTCTTTGTGATTTGAACAGATGCACTATTTTTAGAAGAAACATTTAAAATATGGGCAAATATGGCACCAAAAGGACAAAAGCAAAAGTTAGTTAATTGCCAGAATATTTCTACCAGTAAAAAGAAACCACTGACAAGCAATTGTACACCAGACCATAACCAGGACACTCAATCAGCATTAAACAACTTAAGAGTTAAATACAGCTGCTTGGGATTCTGGAAGAAATTTCACCATTCAGGACAACAACAGAAACGATGTTTTAAAATTTTAAAATATTACAATTTTTTTTACATTATGTTATGATAAACAAAATGTTATTCTTCATTTCTTAATTGATTCTGCAAAATTACAAAATACAAAGTAGATCAACCAAGAAACTATTGAAAACACAATAGGCTGGTGAATGACAACCATATTTGTTACGGTGATAATTTATCTAGGCTATTTTCTTAAACTGTGTACTGTACTTACCCCATTCCATTCTACGCTCATACTCACTTCCTCGCCTCCATCAGGACCACTCTCGTACTTTACCACATCAACATTGAGGCTTTCTCGGCTTCGCCTTTTTTCTATGCTCTCAGGGTCATTCAGCACTTCAGCAACTCTCTGTTTATGAACATTGTCAAGACCCTGAGAATTAGACAAAATGGGAAAAGGCTTCATTTTATTACAAGCTGTATTAATCTACAACTTACATACAATAACCACACCAAGAAAGAAGTCAAACCAACCCGTAACTCCACCACCCCAACTCTGCTTTCAAAGGGCAGTTGAGTTGCCCTTTATACACTGCAGGAATCAACACAGCATGAAGTGGACAGACAGCCTGGTAGTTTGAGAATTCAGTGACTTGCCATTCTTTTCCTCCTTCCCTATCACTTGTCAAAGCCTTGTGGTGTTCCTGTCACTTACCTTAAGCCATCTGGCCCCAGCTTAATATTTAGCAATTTATACATCATGAAAAGTCAACGCAATTCTCAGTTTTCCACCTATCCAATGGTGCAGTATTCACCCACTTTTGGAAAGAACGTTGCAGGTGTCTGAGTATCTAATACCTAAGACACAGGTTGTGTTATTTAAAAATACTGACATATGACACTTGGCACAGCAGTATAATTTATCCTTCAGAAAGAAATCAAATAGAAAATAAGCTTGTAATAGAACAGACTATATATGTGGTCAATAAAATATGTTTACTTTGTGTTAAGGAATGCCCATCAATTACCAAATAATCCTTTAAGTATCTTAAAAGTGCTAAAATACCTTCTATGAAAACCCTGCACTAAAGGCAAAATATTTAACACAGAAACTAGGAATTAACAAAGTTCAAGTCATACTTATTTTCAGTTCTGTTTTCTTTATAATAAACCTACTCCACGTCATAAACGGTATTTGCTGACAGAAAGAGAACCCAGATGAATGCCTTACACATAATAAAGTATTCTGCAACTTTCACTGGGCAGCCTTAGCAGCAAATGGAGCAGCGGATCTGTGCAACAAATCCAGAGTGTCTACCACAATACAGAAAGTGAAAATCATGCCAAAATGCCACGTAACAGTAAAGTTCATTAATGAAGAATGAAAGTTGTTCTAGTGGCATGGAGAAATCAGGTTCTTGGTTCCCATATAGCTGCCTTCCACTAACTGAAGAGCAAAACAGCCCTCCCTAATGGAATTCTACACACAATGACGCATGAAACCAACATATAATGGTCATATTTTTCACTTCCACAGGGCTATAAGGTACAGAAAAGTGGCTAGAGCTCTCAGACAGTAGAGAAGCGTAGGCTCAAAATGGCTGAAAATCACCACTAAGGAGGTAATGTATCACATACATACTCTAGGTTCTATTCTGAAGCTATATCATCTCTCATTCACCTCACTTAAAAAAAAAAATTTTTGTTAAAAAAAATTTAAAAAATGAAGGGACAGGGAACTGCACTTTCCCAGTTTGTTCCATTCTGTCATGAAAGATGAAGGACAAAAAACTTCACCGGTCTTCAGAAATCTAGCGTAGACATCCCAGCAGCTGAAGTGAACAAAACATGCATGAAGGAGAACAGAGCTGTGGAGGAGTGATACTTTTCCACACCTGGGAACAGAAGTACCTCTTTGCTTTTAGCTGAAAAGGGGAAATGCATTAACCCTGTCTGTCTTCCTTTAATGACCTAGAATAGAAAGGTAGTTTTAAATGCTGCTAGTAAGACAGCATTGTTTCCTACACTTCCAGAACTAGTGCTGTGCATAATGTGATATATTATGGTATAGGTGGTATATGATGCACCAGTGAAAATTCGAAGCATGCGTAATAACAATAAAGTAGCAGCAGCAAGCCTCCAGCCGGCTCTATGGAAAATGGAGACAAGAACAGTTTTTGCAGCGGTACTGGCAAGCCAGAAGCAGACTGATTAAACAGGGACTCTGAAAGGGACTTCTCCAATGGCAAGATCCTCCCATCCTTAATTTCCAAATAACCAATTCCAAGCTTCCCAGTAAAAATTTAAAACTTGAGCAGTTGGTGCTCCATTTTGTTTGTTGATTTTTTTTTTATATTAAAAAAGGGAACAAACGTAACTACAAGCTACGTTTTCTTCCAGTCTTCTTATTACTATTATATTACATCAATTTATCCTGGTTGTATCTGTTTGCGCTAAAAAATTACCACTTGTAATGGTGACACTAAAACTAAGAACCAAAGCAAATATGTTAAGATGCAGCGCACATTCATTTCTTACTTTCAAATCACATTTGAATGAGACACACTGAAAATTAACCTTCAGTAAAAGCATGTGAAAATCATCCTCAGTTAAAGAAAGTATCTGTATCAACTATTTCCCCTCCACCCTTCAATTTTCCTTGCCAAAGAAGTTTTCTCCCAGATTCATACTTCCCTCTTACCAGTCTCATTCCATTTATTTGGCAAACACTCTAAAGTCTTCCATCATTTTTTGTGGAAGAAAGAACTTATGCCACCTTATATCAAAGGGAACTGTTGCTGAATTCACCAGAAGAGCACGAGGTTTGCCAGGAGCTTTTCTGCTCTCCCTCTTTTCCAGAAATCTGCTTCTATATAGATCAAACACTGCAGTATCATTCTTTAAAATACAACTTCAAAATCAGTATAACCAATAAAAACCAGTACATTATCAATAAAGATATGGTCCATCACTTAAGTCAGTTTACTTGAATTTAGAATTTGAGTTTAGAACTTTACATGGACATATAAGAAAAAAAAAACACAAAACAAAACAAACCACTTCTGAAAACAAATACAGATCTTATTTACTATTGCATAAAAATGAAATTAAAATTGAACTTTCCAATTTTTTTATTCACTTATATTTTCTTATTTTGCTTTCCATTTTAACACTGACAAGCTGTGTTTGCTTGTCCAGTCTTAAGTACTTTTATAAAAAAGACATTGTATCAAATCATCCAAAAGGGAAAGGAAAACCAAAAAGCCAATAAAACCCCAACAAAAACAAACTCTCTCCAACCTTCTAAGACTGAGAAAGGGTTACTTGAACTGCAGATTTGAGAGCACAGAGACAGCACAGAACTTCTCCACATTAAAAGAAAAATAGTGCCCCCTTAAACTGTAATATCCATTCCATTGGTTTGCAAAAGTAACAGAAACAGCAACTAATAAATTTATAATGGTCTTCTAAAGGTCTGCACCAGTCAGTCAGTTGTATGCAGAAACAGAACATTTGTAAGTTTGACAGCTCCTTATTAAAAATAGAACAGCATTACTGGCAAAGGAGATTATCAACAGAAACTCTCCGTTTTCCCCTAACTACAGTCTCTCTCACAGGACTTGTAGCCCACTGAGGACTACTGGCCAACACAGTGTTTTCTGCTCTTCCATCTTCCACACAATTTCACCCTCAATGTGAGTCATGCCCCCGGTACATGGTGCCACTGCCCCAGCAATTAACCAGTTTGCAAGTGTTAAGATGGGATCAGTTTATGACCAGTTCAGACTGAAATTAGAGGGCAACACCAGGCACCAGACACTGAATAGCTAGAAGTTTATATATTCTGCATGTACAATAAGATACTGAAGTTGAAAATCTGCATGACCATAATGCAGAAATATCATTAAGGCGAATTATCATACTTGCCTGTTTACGAGACCTCATTGCTGCCTCTTCTAATGTTTCAGCAGCTTCAAATTTGCCCTGTCGTCTGTAAAGTGCCCCAAGGTTCTTTAAGGTAGTTGTTACTGTTGGACTATTTAAAGAAGAAAAAAAAGAAGTATATATATACACAGACACACACACTCAACTCTTCTCAATTCACAAACTAATAAAAACTTAAATTAATATAGTATTTGTCATATTTCTTATAATTATTTAGTAAGTCTGTCTTGAAATATACTACACTGTATATGGTTGGTTTAGTGGCATGGTGGTGTTGGGTTGACGGTGGGACTTTATGATCTTAGAGGTCTTTTCCAAACTTAATTATTTGATTTGTTTTGTACTTCATGTACGTGGAAAAACCTGTTAACCCCTTTCACAGTGCATTAACAGCTCACGCTATGATTAGTCAACAGCCCTGAAAGTGGAAGTTATTAACTAGCCTCTAGATCTACTCAGTCTGCTTCCAGATGCACCTTGAGGTGAAAATTTAGCTCAATCTGAGTGTGTCCAACTAAGTAATTGTGAAGCTTCCAGAAAATATGCCTACTCATGCATACAGTGACCATTACTGTAGCATGTGTTTGTCACAAAACAAATCAAAAGTTCCTTTCATCAGCTTTTACTTAACACCTATTTGCAGTTTCTATGCATTCAAACTATGCTTGAACAGTAAAGGAAAAAAAAATTAGAAAAAAAACCCACCACACATTCCATTAACAAGTCACTCTCCAACAAGACATGTTTGTTTCAATGAGACTATGAGAATTAGCTCAGTCACAGAATTGTTGCATGAAGTTTTGCTCCAGTAACAGCAGAGAAAAGATTTCCTCATGCATTACAATGAACTAGTACATGAAAAACAAACCAGCAAAATGTCTTGCACCCAGAGTTCAAGATGGAGAAAAAGAGTAGATTTCAACAATACAAAGGTTCTGTTGCTTGTTAAACACACTAACTCAAACACTGAAGAAATTAAAACCCCTCACTGAACATTATCAGTACTAGGTGCAGGTTTTTTCTTGCATTGTACCACCTGCACATTAAAAAAAGGCAGTTAAGGAACAAAATTAAAGCAAACAAAAAATATTTCATCAAGTATAATCCAAGCTGAAGTCCCTGTTTCTCTTCTTCCATTTTGAAGTTCAGATTTTAAATCACACAAAACTATATTCTTCAAGCTTTAGAAGCTCAAATAATGCTGAATTCTGCCAGTTTAATTTTGTTTTCTTGTGCCAGCTAGAAAACTCAAGGCTCAGTTACTTGCACAGTCTCCTTTTTGCTTCTGGCCCTCTCTAGAGGTCTTGCTGGGGCAGGGAGAGCATGTATGCCAACCAACAGTATAAAAAGAAAGAAAGATGACCTATGCTTCCATGTGAAGGACTGCCAAGAACGCAACTGGTGAATTTTTATGTCACTTACTAGATCTAACCAGCCTAGATTAAAAGCAACCTTGGGACTTGAAAACTGCTACTGTGTTCCTGAATTTTTAATACTATAGTTTTTATAGTCCTAAGCAAGCAGCTGGTTTAGTTTCAATTTTAAACATGCTTTAATCTGACATTTCTGCATACCGGGTATTGCTGCATTGTTTGTCCTGTAAAGAAATTACCCACCTGTCAACTTTGCAAGCTTTGTACCAGCCACCATACTCTCCAAAAGATGTGCCATCTTTTTGCTTTCCCTAAAACAAAAGTAATGTTGAAGAAAAATAACTGATTTGTAACTTAAATAAGTAGAAGTTCCAAAAAAGATTTATGACAATGGCCTTACTTTGCATTCTTCCCTCTCTTCTGCATGCATCCAAATAGGCTTATTTTCATCTGATGAAACAGAAGAAAATATTTTATAGAAGTAAAAAACTACAAAGTATTCATCATTTTTCACCCTTCTGAAATGAAGTTGTGAACCAGAGAATTATACTATCACCACCACAAAAAAGGCTTACTGTCCATACTACAAGCAGCAGATAAATAAAACAAGCACCTCTTCTTTTATAGTTTTACAATTCTGTCTTTTCTTATCTGAACTGAGAAACAGTTACTTCTGAGAAGCTTTGAAGTCAGTATATGCTGCCATCGATTTGTCGTGTGCTTAGTTCTGTGCTAGATAATACGCATTTATTTCTTTTATCCTAACAACTGTTTTGACAATTACTAAGTGGTGCATAAGCTCTTGTGATAGAATGCAGTGAAAATTCTTCACTGTGATTTACAGTTGATAAAATACACTGTACATTGAAGTCAAATGCAATTCACAATTTAAGGGTATTTTCCGCATTCTTTCAATGTATTAATGGAGGACTCACATTAACAATGTATTTATTGTATCATTAAAAATCCTGCACTGACTTTTTCCTGTGACTGCAAAGTGACATACATTTTTCTGCCTCTATAAAAATACCAAAATTGGTTTTGGTTGGGCATAAGATAAATTATGCCAGAAATACAATCCATAAAACATAAACCTACCAAGTCTACCTCATGTAAGAAAAACTCTCATTTTGAATCAAGTGTTACTGCTGTATCTAAATGCTTTTTTACGACAAATGTACTTCAATGCATCTATAATCTCACTTTTTAAGTCTATCTCAAGCAGACAACTATTTTAATCAGGATACAATTAACTTCCTGCAGATTTTATTTCATAGTAACTACAAAAATGAAACATACATTCAAATCTAGGGACTCAGTTTCTTACCATCTACAGAGCCAAATTCCCGTTCATGAGCACGAGTAAGAATCTCTTTGTATAAAGTTTCCGCTTGCTTAAATTTGCCCTGTTTTAGATAGCAGGATGCCTAAAAAACAAAATACCCCCCCCAAAAGATATCAGCACGCTGTTTTATTTAGCTTGATAAACAATAAATACAATACATGCTGAATAAAGGTGCATTTCTTAGATTTACTTTATAAAAGGCTTACCAGGTTATTCTTTGTTTTTGCAACATTTGGATCATCTGGTCCTAGCTTAGTTTGGTAAATTTCCAGTGCCCTCTGATAGTAGTATTCAACCTCCTCATATTTACCCTGGTTCTGACATAGTAAAGCCAGGTTATTTAATTGTTTGGCAACATCAGGGTGATCTTTCCCCAGGACCTGAAAACGAAATACCTTGTATTAAAACATGCTCCAATCATCATATCAGGGTTTAGAAATGCATCATTTAGAAATACCCCATTAGTTTTTGTTCCCCATCAATTCAACATGAGGATGACAAAAGCAGTATTTGCATTTGAAAGATATGAAAATTACCCAATTCTATTACAAACTGAGAATGCTGTAGAACAATTCAAACAGGAATAATGTAAGTAGTATAATAACATTGTATGCAGCATATTCTACAAAGCCTGAAAGATGCAGGCATTCAGTCTCATGGACTAAAATAAATATCCACATAGTCATAGAATAATCAACTTAAAAATTTTAATGATGCTTCATTTTTAATTCCAATGCTCTTGTCAAATGAAAGATTACTTAAATATAAGAGAGGAAAGAAAAAGGTAAAGAAGGTTTATTGCACTAGACAGAATTTAGAATACACCCAGAATGCTCCAACAGCTCCGTAGGACTACTGGAATTTACTACTGTTTTGAATTTCAGACACTCCTAACTACTAGGGCATTGCTAACTCTGCAGTTTATCTGACAGATCTACGCAACCAAAACACTAAAAAAGTGTTTAACTTTGCCCTCTCCCTCAGAAAATCCATTCAAATGTGCTGTATTCTTTTACTCATACCTTTTCTCTGATTTCCAGAGCTCGCTTACACAATGGTTCAGCTTCTTTGTACTTTCCCCGTTTACCATAAAGTACTGCAAGATTGTTTAGAGTTGCTGCCACCTGTCAACAGTAAAGAAATATTAATTACACTGGAATTTGCTGATACAAGTATCTGACAAATGAACACATCTGCAATGCATTCATGTTTTCAAATTTTCCATGCACAGGGGAGACCTCTCGAAATTTGCAAATGAAGAAAAAATTATTATTGAATGCATACATACAGAAATGACGAAAGGAAAAAACCAAAATCATTAAATATTTTCGCTTCATTTGTGGAAATGTCATTTAGTGCATCCATTTTCTTCATATGTTCTTCTCTTACAAAGTTACCTCTCACATCTATACTCAGAGCTGCCCTGCTTCACACAGGCTACATGAAGTGAGATAATCACATTAATTTTAAACACCAAGTACAAAAGCTTGATTTACATTTCATTTAAAAGCAGCAGTAAAACAAATCAGAAGTACCCCTTCAATTTGAGTTTAATAAAGCGATTTGAGTAAGCAAATTAAAAATCTTTCTTCACAAATTAATTTCCCATAGAAAATCCATGCAATCCAAATATGTGCGAGTCATTTGTGGTGAAACAGTATTGAATATAATGCTCAAAAGGTACGTTAAATATTTAAGAGAAAATGAAGAATGTTGCATTGTGGCCTCCTACCTGTACTGTTTAGAGATAAGCCAGGTCTTAAAAACTTTCCTGTTGAGTTTAATATTAGAATGAGTTGAAAAAAATTCAGTGAAAAACACAACCAAAAATATGATATTGCATGTATACAAACCGCTGGATGATCTTTGCCCAAAGTCTTTTCACGGATAGCCAAGGCATCATTCAGGAGATTTGCTGCATCTTTGTATTTGTTCTGGTCTCTAAATGTTAAAGAGTAATAATTAATACTGGGGATTCAGAAAAGAAAGTCATAAAAATTAAGCTGACTTCAGTACTGGCCTAAAGAAGCTAGTACAAAAGAGGAGTAATTGAGAATATATTGAGAAATCAGGAAATAAAATCCTGAAGCCTGTAACTGTGAAGTAGTTTGCTGGTTAAGGACTAGCATGCACTACTTCTACACTGCTGGCCAATTTATACCTCTAGGTTATCTGTAAGTGGGTAATCAAGACACGTCCCCTCAGTAGATAAAAAAATCCAAACGAAACCAAAACAAACCACCCCAAGTATCAAAACCAGCTTCACTCCCACAACAAAGTCACAGGCAAAAATGCAGCCAACTTGTTTAAGTATGGGGAGACATACAAATATTGCAGGACCCTCTTGAGGGTTTTAATAAAAAGCAGAGAATGGAAAATAAATGGAATGGAAAATAGAAGTAAAAAAATGTTAGTCTGAACATTAACAGGTTAAAGCCAAAGATTAGCTATTTATTTAACTGATATTTATCTATGCCAGTATACAAACCTGTACACCAAAGCAAGTATGTTCAACATAGTGGCAACATCAGGATGATCATGACCTGAAGTCTTCTCCAGATCTTCAAGAGCTTGTTTACAGAGAGGTACAGCAACCTCATATCTACCTTGGGAAGCGTACTGAATAACAAGATTATGAAGTGTCCTTAATCTTGCTGGAATTTCATAGCCACCTTGTTGGGCAGCAGCTGCTGCACTGCTATGCTGCTGTTGAACTGAAAAAAATCCGCAAGATTTCAAGTTGTTTAAAAGATGACTGTAACGAAAACATCTTAACATTACTGCTCAATGACACAAAATGAGACTCACTGAATTTTATTTCTTCAGTACAAAGCATTAGTATTAGCACATACTTCACAGCAGTCATGCAGTCGTGGACAGTAACAGTGAAAATATAACCATTTTATTCTACGTATTCTGTCCAGTATTCTATTAATATTATTTTACACTTCTATCAGCTCAAAGGACCACATAAATGTAATAAACCAATGAAGAAAGTAGGAAACTATTTCAGCTCAGCAAATAATTAACAATTCTCAAGATTATGTCATAATTTTGCACTTACAAATATTGACATTCTCTATGGAAAGGAACATTAAACATAGACAAGCCAAATACCTGCAGAAAAGCTCAAATTATTTGTCCTTTTTCATTTATTCTCCTTCTCTAAATATACAAATTTTTTTTGTTTCCCTTTGTTTGCTATACCAAGTAGTACTTTAGGTTGGCACATAAAGGATTAAAACACCTTGGATGCCACAAATAACAGTTGCAAGAGAAAAGGCAAAAAGTCATCACAGCCAGTGTCAACCTTTAGGTTTTACTTACTAACCCTCAGGCTTAGCCACTTATTCTCCAGTAGCTCCTAACCTTTGGTTGTTGCAATCCCCACCCTCCTACACCCCCCAAAAATCTACTCCCCCTTTTGTCTTCACCTGGAAGATTTCTAGGAAGATTGAAAAAATTCCCTCACTCATTTTCATTAAATTCTAGACAACACACAGGATAAGGGCTCCAGCCGTGAGCCTGACTTTCTTCTCTCCTTTCTATCAAGCAAAAACCACTCTCACAGCAAGTCGGAGCCTTTTTATGTCAGCGGAATCATACAATTCCAAGTCCACACCCACAATCACTGCCTACCAAAGCACTGAAGCATTTCAGTGTTTTTCCTGAAGGTCAAGGAAATTACTGACATGTCAACTTGGTCTTTTGTAAAGTGAAATAAGGTACATGGACTATGCAGGTATAGACAGCTTTGCCATTCAACTTTCCTACTACAAAATTCTAGGGAAGCAAGGATGAGTTCAGGGGGGAGTTCATGGTCAACAGTAGCCTATTCTAAACTCTTCAAGTCTTCCTTCCATTGCTGGCTATGGATAGCATTACCATGCTATCAAGAATGCAGTGTATCTTGTGTATGTGCCCATAAAGGAAATTCAAAACTTTACTGATTACAAAGGCGGTACCCTTCAAACATTTTTTCTGAAATCCTTTGTCTACTAAGAACCATTATACTACTAGCACACTGCATATCCACTACAGTATCAATACAACACGTATCAGCTTCACACCCATACAGGAAACACATTTTACTAAGCAAGGCTCATCTATTAACGGCTTCTTTCAATCACGCTACCAAAACCTCTACCTCAAACTCCACTGCATATTCATCAGTCCTTCTGACCTGAAGACAATACTTCTAGAATGAGTAGTAAAACTAAGGAAGACAACTTTAGCAAAGGACAAAAGATTATATGAGAAAGACTTCATACTGAAACCTGCCCCAAAATTTTAAATCAGATCATCAGAAAGGTCATTAACAGAATTCAGCACCTGGGCAGACCATCAAAAAGCTTCAATGTTTTGGAATCTGCCTCAGTCACTTGGAACAAACCTTTTCTATTCCAAGGCCCACAGAAAACACTGTGGGATGAATTTTGAACTCAAGCCAGTCCCAAGAACTTTACAACAGCTAATAAACTCTCTTTAAAAACCTAGACCCAGTTCTGTACATATCAATGTATAGAATGCATGTCAATGACTGGTTTCCTTATTCTAGCAGAGGCATTCACCACTCCCGCTGTGTCCCAGAGGACCCCAAATATGGATTCATTTTTATAAAAAGCATCTTTATATTCTGCATTGCAGAAATACACTAACATTCTAATTTGAAGTGCACTTACTTCCTTGTCCTTGGTCATCTTCATCATTGGGAAATAAGTCATCCAAAGGCTCTTTGGTGGAATCCGTATCTTTATCCTCCTATAGAACAAGCCCAAACAAATTGTTACACTTAAATCTAAGGCATAACAGGACTGTCCATTTTAATCAGCTATGTTAAAGGAAAACCCCACTTCCAGAACTTAGGAATTGACAAGAACATTTCTCACAGAAGTTTTATGAAGGTCTTATGTCCAAATATATTTACATACTCTGTCCCCAAACAATACAGGACACCTTCAGAAGATCCAGGAATAGAAATCAGGTCTCCTAGATTTCAGCCTCAATTTAAGCACAGAAGAACACATTTGCTATTCTTACAGCGACATTATACCTAATGAAAGTACCCAGTGAAGAGTGAGCACTACTGAATACAGAACCATCCACTGTACTTTTTTAGTCATAAACAGTTATAGATGGGCAAGGGAGAAGAATAAGGAGACCTCATTTTCTGAGTACTCAACTTCTGCACAAATAACAGATTTTGCAATTGTGATCTGTGAGGTTCAAAAAGAAAAAAGAAAAAAAAAAAACCACCACAACACTTGGAAGGAAGTTCATCTCCAACAGTCTCCATCTGGAACCATATTAATTTCTGCACAATCCATCAGTGTGTATTGATTTTAAACATCCAAAGATCATTCCAAATCCCGCAATCATGTAAAATAAAGAAACAGATCATCCCTCAATCCTGCTTCTTAAATGTGGAGTCTACACAATATAAATAGTTGAAGCTCTCAGAAATGTTAATCTCAGTAAGGAGAAAACCCAGGAGCAGAACACATTTCCTATTTTTCTGGCTCTCCATCCAACACCTTTTTCTACAGATGAGAAGACGACAACTGCTGCTGCTGGCATTCAAGTTCAATGGTAGCAAAGCGAGTGCTCTGCAAAGACAGCAGATTGATGGGACTAGATGTCAGATGGGAAGTTTGTAACTTTAAGTGTGCTGATTCCAACCTCGTACTGCGTATACACAATTGACTATTCTCAAAGGCTAACAACAGAGACTGTCCATATGGTTAGTGAAACTATAAAGATGCTTTGCTTACTTTGACCCTATTTGGCAATTAAATTTCAAATAATGGTGCTATTTAGGCCATCTGCAGCTTACAGTTCAACAGTTAGCACATCAAAATCCCAATATTCCTTCCCTCTGCCTGCCCCTTTTCTAAACAGGCTTCACTGGCAGTATTCGGATACAAATACCAACTCATAATTGGTTATGAAAAACTGTTCTTTCCAAGACACAGCTGAGAAGGTCTGAACACAAAAAATGAGATCTTTCTCTACTGTGCCATCTAAATTAAAGAAACAAAATAAAAGGATAACAAGAAGGGCAAGTAATTCAGAAGTCTTTTTAAGTGATAAATTACTTCTGTAAATTAAAATTGTATCCATTCTCTCGCTGAATCTAAGAATATGTAACACAAGGGGCTAGCTAAACATGACTGAACACACGCAGATGATCACAATGCCTGGCAGAAGGTCCTGGAAGGGGATTCAATAATATCCTATCATAGTATAACTTCTCAAAAGATCTAACAGCTACACACGGATTTCACTAGATGAGAAGTAAATATTTTTCTTGCAGTCAAAATAAGCCAAGTCCCCTATGTACTTAGAATCTCTAATAGTTTACATTCCCCACTTACTTTAACTGTTGAATGTACAAAAGGAAATTTTGGTTTGGTTCAGTTCTTTGTATTTTTAAGCTAATATGATACTAAATAACTATTTATGGATTTTGATCCTCATATGTATTTTATTATGTACACACAGTGAAACATTTACTCTCTTAAAATACGAATGAACTGAACTCTCAGAATCTTTCTGCAAACTATGTGACACTGGTACAAGGTAAGCATTTTAATGACAAATTTATGTTAAAGATAAATAAAAAGCTTCTATCTGTCATTTCTTGGTAACTAGGCAAATTACAACACATGTAAACGTAAGGTGCTTTTTACTATACAGCTACTTACTGATGGTGAAATATCATCGTCATATTTTTTTAATTGATTCATGAATTCTAGATGTTTCTTCTCTTCCTCCAGTTGAGCCACAGATTGTTCACTTTTCTGTAATTTCTGTTGTGTATTGGCTAGTTCATCCCGTAGCCACTGATTTTCCTGGCATAGCCGGCGAACCTGAGCACGCAATTTCTGCTTCTCTGACTCCACTGCATTTAAGTGATTTGACAAGGCCATCATTACCTAAAAAGCAGAAGGTGTCACATGACATACTTCCCCTAGAATGCAGTCCTGTATTTAACATAAAAGCCTTTTATTATTTAAAACCTATGCCAGCTGGGAAATCTGGTAAACATTCAGATTTCTCTTCTTTATATATCTGGTTCTCACTTTTCCTCTAAACTTTTTTACCATTTGTTCAGCCAGAATTAGCCTAGAGGAACTCTTTAGTAATGATTGTTTTCCATGATGCTATCAGAAGTCAAATTGGTTTAGAATTCCCTGAAGATTACATACAATCTTAAAATACATGAAGAATTTGAATTAGAGTTTAGATTACTGAAATGGAAATCTTTGTTCCACTAACATGAAATGGAGCAGTAATACTTTTAACTTGAAGGATCACAAAAATAACTAAGAACTAACACAGAGCTCTAATTTAGCAGCTTTCAGACAGAAAATAATTCATATACATGATTACAGTTCATAAGGATGAACACCTCAGCATAACGATATTACTTCAAAGGGACAATGATACTACGGAGATCTAAATGTGCAACTGAACACACAATTTATATAAGCACTTTATATACACACATCATAAGCTTGAGTGTGCAGACATTCAATGTGTTTGAACAGTCACATTAAGGACAAAAAATGGAACAGCCATAAAAGCAGTTTACTTGGATTGGTTTTTTTTGCTACGCAAAGTTAAATGAAAAAGGAGCTCGTTAAGTAAAAGCCAAACACTACATACAGGAGACATTCTCCCTTCACTGTTTATGTAATTTCCCACTGATACACGTAAAACAGCTGATACAATCCCAGGAAGCACCCCTTGTAAGAATGGACCACTGGTGATAATACAAATCTTCTTTCAGATGAGTTTGACATCCCCAAGTTATTAGTATTTCATCTCCTCAGTTTCATGGTTTTTTAAAACAACGTTACCTCAAAGTGTTTTAAAACTACATATTTCATGTGAAACAGATGGTGTCCTTAGCTGAAATTTCAGATTTCAAAAAAATACATCAAGCCTTTAGAAACTACTTTTTCCTATAAAGGTAAGAAAAACTCCAGTTATAATTTTCTAATACTGGTCCAAATCTCCAGTCTTCAGCACCTATCTATTTACATATCCAAGATTGTTAATAATTTAAATTATTTGGCCTATACAAATGCCATTGTTTGAAACACCAGAAAGTACATTTAGGAAAGTTGTGATAATAGGATCAACATATTCTTACAACATTGTACAAGCTACAATGGCAAACTAAAATCCTTTGCAATCTTACCCTCTACAATTAACTGAAAAAAAAAGTTTGATTACTTCTTAAGAAAAGTCAGCTTCGTTTTCATGGAAATAACATGTCATCAGACCTACATCCGTGTCACAAAAATGTCTATAAAATATTTCCATATCTTAATTTAAATACTGCAAATAAAGAAAATTACTACACTGTTGCAACCTAAAGCATGCAGGAAGAGTAGGCTTATCAGGTCTGAGAGTAGTAGTTCAAAGTGTAATTGGTTTCCTAACAAAGGCAATAAATGCAGACATCTTGGCTCCTTGCCACCACAGTTCACAAAACACCATGTGGGGCAAACAAGGCAGTAACATCTGCAACTGAGGTCACTGAATCTGATAGAGCCAAGAATCAGAACTAGCTTTTTGGAGTCCCGATACCACAACAAAGTTAGGAGACAGAAGTTACTCATTCACTCACAGATCTTCTACAGACACCCATTAAAGGTAACTCAACTATTGCAATTTTATTCCATATATCTTCTAGTATTTTCTTCCAATACAAGGGATCAAAACTTGTAAAATATACTAAGGCCTGCCAGTCTGTACCATAATATCCAGGGGTTCTAGATTCCCATGTCTGGTAACCCGCATTTGTTCATTCTCTCAGGCCTCAATTCACCGTGATCCAATGCACACAACTTCCAGATCACAAACAACAATAGCTCGATCCAGATGAGAAGACTGAGCACAGGTATAGACTAATATAAAGCCTATTAATATAGAGCTAACTCATTGGCATTTGCAACTCATTTGCAAACACTCTGCCATTTTATACTGATGACTATGTCACATCACATTGTTTCAGGTTTTTGACCTAGTATAAAATACCCTAAAGTTAGACTGTAAATATAGTCCTGACATCCCAATTAAACATGCATCTTTTCACTCATCTTCTTTACACGATACCTTCATCAACTAAGATAGTTCACAGAAGTTAGCTCAGAGTCTTTTCTTTAATGCATCAGTGAATGTTGTTCAGATTCTGTACTCAATTCTTAACCTTTAAAATGTTTTTAGATTCAATTACCTGCCTAATGTCGTGGAGAAGTCTAAACAGAAATTAGCAGCTGTCTCACCAAAGTAAAGAGGAGCTCAGTTATGAGCTTCAGTGCTTTAATACTGAATGCATAATTAGTTCTGTAACATAGCAAGATGGATAGTATCTACCTCTCAATTACAGTAGTCTTTTTCCTTAACATACAACAACAATGTAAACGTCTCAGCACATTACTAATATTCAGTAAGGCAAATGTAAGTCCTCAAAGTCTGAAATGCTTTATTTCTACTGCAATTTTACCTGTGCTTCACTAAGGCCAAGCTCCAGCATTTCCAGTGACTTTCGAATCATGTTTGATTTTTCTTCAACCAGATTAGTTTCATCATCTTTCTTCAAACATTTCAGTGTTTCTAGTAAGCTCTGTAAAATTGAGTTGTGTTCATTCTTCAGTGCCTCTAGTCCATTAATCACTTGCTTAGTTTTGGCAATGATTTCATCTTGAGTAAGCTTCTCCAACTTCTCTTCCTTTAAATACACCATTGTGGACATGTTTTCATACATTCTGAAATGGAAGAGTACGCTAGTTAATCTGAAAGTAAAAATAAAACAAGCAATTTCCTATCACTGAAAAGCTTTCCTTTAAGAAGACATTAAAACATATGAATTTGAAATGTATATTCGAATGCAGTTAAATTTTTACACAACTTTTACAATGTTTTAAGACCCGGGTTTGAGCAGAGTTTCAAGTTTTCCAGTTTCTATTTCCAGATTTAATATTAACACTAATCCATAAGCCAAACAACAGCAGAAAATAAAATATATACCACAACATGGCAGAATTTCTAACAAGTGTTGAAGAACAGGGCTGCATCTCCAGGATTCTGGTTTGTGCAAAAGCAAAGTAGCTGGTGTATAAAAGACATACTATAATAAACATAGCTATTTGCAGATGCTACTGATCTACAACTATCTTTTAAAATATCCACAAAATAGAACTTGAAGAATTTGAAGAAACACCATCCAACCCTCTAAAAGGGTTGATCAATCAATCATGAGAAAAATCATCCTTTTCCAGTAAGAAGGAAACACTGTCTTCATCCATTTTCCAAGGGCTACAAAAGCTGTTACCACTACGTTTTGAAAATAACAACTACCCCCTAAGATTACATTCATTATTGTTAACTCTACAGTTACATATAGACATTCAATTGCCTACAGGTCTAGATGCAGCTGTTTTGATGAAATTGCAACAGCTGTCTCATGCTGGAAAAAAATCAGTTTGTGTAACACAACTCTTGCAAGAAACATCTCACTGTGCTATTTTGTCAGTACCTCATGCACTACATTACGGCTAGCAAATTGCTGGATATTTGTAAACACCTCTACCAAACGCAAATGAATATCCAAAGAAGTTTAGAAACTCAAATAACTTTATTATCATGCACGCTGTTACTGAAGAGACAAGTATAACAATGTAAAAATACAAATAGAAGACACAGAAATCACTTGATCCTTTTTAAATGTCACCAGAAAAATGTTCTATAATGAAAATAAAGAATTGAGGAATTGCTCCTTTATACTTAAGATATTTATATCTCTGAGTGAACCAGGTAGTATAAATCAAAATAAAGTAGGAAAAAATTTTCAAAAGCAAGAAATTATCACATCTATATGAAGACACTTGGGGAAGCTTTGATAAACTAACATTTAAAATGAATTAGCTAAAATGTATTAAAACTTTGTACAGAAACAAGTTTAGTTTTAGGAGAAAGCAAAAATATTACAACTACTTAAGTCTTGAATAAGAGTGCTATAAAGAACGTGCATATATGCACCACTTCATGACAAAACCCAAAGAATGTGCTCTTATACTCTTGTATTACATTAAAAAAAAACCCAACAACCAACCACAAACCAGTTGCTCTTTTTTATGTACACTCAAATTACCCCCTCTGTTACGGTCTCTTGCAACGTGATACCTAAAAGGCATACCCATTTGTCACAAAAGAGCTGCATTCTACACTGGTTTATTTTGTAATAATCTATTGTCTGAAAACACAGATAATTTGAGGAAGCAGTGAATTTAGTTTTACCACAGTTTAATACAAGAACTCCATATTCACCAATATATGTAATGAGCATACACATCTGTATAAAACATCTAATCTAGCATGG